CTCATTTCATTTATTATAAAGAAATGTAACCTGACATTTCTTTTATAAAACAACTCAACCTAATTCGTCTAAAAATTATTAACGTTTTACTTTTAAATAAAATATAATTTGTACATTACATTAATGTACTAGAATGTCTAAGAAGAAGACGTAATGTATTAGAATTTTCTGACGTAATATTTCAGCATCGTCTACTAAAAATCGATGGTATTGTTTTTTTTAACAAATGTGTATAATATCTTAAAATTGTAGTTAAATTCGTATTTTTATAATAGGCACAGGTAAAAAAAAACAAAAACCTATTCAGTTACTGAAATAATCATATATAAATCAATTGATATATTTTCATTCACAATAATTGTTTACGATTCTTCCATTCATACCGCATTATAATATTTGACAATACAATCATAATATTTTGATGACATATATCTTGAGATCGATCTGCGGAATATTATTCCACTTAAAAACGTCATCTGTCAAACTGACTTGTTTTTTTTTTAATAATAGTTGCACTGTTATTTATTTTTTTAATTACAAACAGCCAGGTTAATTTGAATTGATTTGATATCGATTTTCTGAAATAAATTGTCATATATTAAAAACTATTTTTCGCAAATCCGACGGTAGTTCACAAATATGTATGAAATGTATCAAATTTGTAGTCCAACGACCGACACAATGACCTCACTCCGTTAGCTAAATGTAAAGAACAAATGGCAGTAGCAAAATCATTTAACAAGTACGTGACAGATTTCAAAATAAAAGTAGAACATTACCTATATATACTGGTCTGAGTAATACCTTTAGTGGTATAGAAGATATTTACTAAAATTAGTCAGAATTACATGATTCCAAAATGACATGATTACATATTGCAAAGAAAAATATCACCGAAAATGCAAGCTCATGAAGCTCTCGGTTTTAAAATTGCATATTACAATTAATTATTGCAAATAGATGAAAAAAAGCAAAAGTTTTTAATTTAACATAAAGGAGATCATTCTTTTTGGGCCTTTTTTAAAAGTGCCGGCCAACAAAAAAAAATGGTACATATTTGTAGAACTAACCATTTGGAACAATAGTTAATATGGCGCAAAAGTTGCAGGATCCAAGATATAGAAGTTATACAAGTTTCAAGATTCATCATTTTGGTACATCTATTTTTTCTGAAAGTGCCAGGAAACAGAAAATAATGATTGATATTGCTAGAGTTAAGCTTCTCAAGCAAGTCATTATAGCCATAATCTGTTAGAAACCTGTCGTTTTTATGTAATACTAGCGAACCCGACAGACGTTGTTCCGCCAAGTATCTGAACGCATGCAACACATTTCTTGATGATTTTATTATTTGTCTAAACTAATATGTATATCGGGGTGCCATTTTTATATATTAAAAAATGGGCCTAGAAGCACTTTCAACTGATTTTGTACCATTTAGGGTCGGATTTGATCATATGACGCGAGAGCAAGTGGCACAGAGGAACCTCATTGTGCCAGAGCGATTATTTGGTAATCCTGATTGTCCGATTGAAGAAAGAAAGGCCATCTCTATACTTGATGGCACTTACATATATTTACAGAAGAGTACTAATTACTTTTTCAAAGAAAATCTTATAGCAACCATAAGTATCGAAATCTTTTAAAGCCTTTTTTAAATACATTTGTTGCAATGGAACCATAATAGCGGTAGATGGACCATACGCTGCAACAACCTCCGATGCCCAGATTTTAAATGAAGCACTGAATAATGTGGATGGTGTATTTCATTGGTTTTACCCGCCTGGTGACATTTTTATATTAGACCGTGGTTTTAGAGATGCTATAGAAAATCTGGAGTCATGTGGTTATGTGGTACATGTACATGCTCTGCGCCACTTGCTCTCGCGTCATATGATCAAATCCGACCCGAAATGGTACAAAATCAGTTGATAGTGCTTCTAGGCCCATTTTTTAATATATAAAAATGGCACCCCGATATACATATTAGTTTAGACAAATAATAAAATCATCAAGAAATGTGTTGCATGCGTTCAGATACTTGGCGGAACAACGTCTGTCGGGTTCGCTAGTATTACATAAAAACGACAGGTTTCTAACAGATTATGGCTATAATGACTTGCTTGAGAAGCTTAACTCTAGCAATATCAATCATTATTTTCTGTTTCCTGGCACTTTCAGAAAAAATAGATGTACCAAAATGATGAATCTTGAAACTTGTATAACTTCTATATCTTGGATCCTGCAACTTTTGCGCCATATTAACTATTGTTCCAAATGGTTAGTTCTACAAATATGTACCATTTTTTTTTTGTTGGCCGGCACTTTTAAAAAAGGCCCAAAAATGTATGAAGCCTGAATGATCTCCTTTAAATAATTGTTTTATGTGGATATACTTAAGCCCCCAAAGATGACGCTCTCTGACAAAAAACATTGAAATACTTAGATAATATTTTCTTCCAAATAAAAAAACGAGAATATTGTCATATGAAAAAATCAAAATAAATGTTATAAAAGCCTAATTACTTGTAATATTAGATTTAAGTGAGATATAATTTACCTAAAAACTGTTATAAAATGGTGTTATTAAATAACCTTCGATAATTATATTGTCATTTAATATATTTTGTTATGATAATTAAAAAAATATTATTGATCGTTATTTTTTTAATTAATTTTTAATGTTTATAACATTATGATAACAGTAATGGGAATCTAATTATTTTGTTTTTTATTTATAATGTTAAAAAATATAAAGACATTTAATGAAAATTAAAAAATAATTAAAGTTTAAATAGTAATGAATGTTTCGGAAAACAGTCCGCGTTTTGACCTATTTTTTTACGCCCACACCGTTCTTAGTATGTAACGAGTGTATTCAGGGATTTTTTTTAGTCTACAACTACGTATTTCATATTTTTTCACATAAAAAACACAGCTATTTAGGCCGAGAAAATTACTTTTATATTCAGGTCCATAGAAAATAATTATTACAGTGAAGTGTAGTCTCGATTCTGAATTTAAAATATTTAAAATCAAAATTTACCGATACAAAAAAAACCGGTTTCAAACCTAAGCATAAAAATAGAACGGTAAAAGTTTTGTTTAAAACCTATTCGACAACAACACTGACCGAAGCCAAAATAATCAACAGCAAATGTTTATAAACAAGACAAAGTCATATGCGAAAATATGTATGTTTATTATATATGGAACATACAATCGGGAAGCTCTCTATTGCGTCTGTTAATAAGAATGACGAGTCCATTATAGGGCCAATAAAAACTGAAAGCAAGTATTGTGCCTCGCATGATGGCAACGATAAAAAAAAACCTAACACTATACTGTGATTACATTTTATTGATATACGTTTTATTCCTGAACTCTGATACAGTTTTATTGACATCCGTTTCTGAACTGAAAGGCGGCAAACGGTAACTAATTTTTGCTTTTGTTATGATATAGTTTAGAAATTTCTATGAGAGCAACATATTTTGAAATTATGTATACGTAAATGTATCAAATAATCAGCCGCGTGGTTATATTTTAGTCTAAATTATAACAATATTTAATTCGCCAACACACGATATGCTAAAACGCCTCCATTACGTCACTCTATGAGTTGTTAGTGATCACGCCACATACTTGGCACCCCGCCCATTGTATTGCAATTGGCTTCAGCTTCCAATAAACCACTAATATATATATATATACTTCACGATCAATTTACGTTAGAAGAGTTCAATAGATTTAAATTAAGTAATAATCATTTCAAATTAAATTAAATTGTTCTAACAACTTACTCGATACTTAATAAGTATTGTAATAACAGGAAAAAAGTTGTAAATGTGAAACACAATTGATAGTAATGTTATATGTACATAAGCTTTAACATATAATCTTAATTCTGCAGTGTTTTAAATTCTATATAAAATGGTACTATCATCTTGCCCCGGCATTAAATAATATGTGGTCCCCGGTAAATAATATAAAGATTAAATTTACTTATGAATATTTATTTCACAAAACAGAAGCCCATGAATAAATAGTTCAATTGATCGTAATTCATAATTTTAATGTATTTAAATTACTTTAAATCTAATAAATTGTATTTTACCTATCGTCAGCTCAATAATTATGAATCTGCTGAATTTTGAATTCCACAATGTTTACCGACAGCAACATTTGCTTATTACCATAATTTATTAGTATTCATTTTACAATTTAATTTGTCTTTGCCTCGGTTCTGCTTAGAAAGACATTTTCTTATTAATATTGTTATTTTATAAATGTATTAAAAGTAAAAAAAAAATACTTCTATACTGTCAATACACAAGTAATAACATCTGTTGCTAAATTATTCCTATTCTGATACATTGATGCATATCAATTAAAAAAGTATTTAAAAATAAATATTATATGTAATGCTAACTTAATTTCAAATAAGACATTTAGATAAAACACTCATAGAAAGAAGTTACAATTTTTATGCATATATTTTTCAGAAGTTTCTTTCAGAATCAAAATAATCATTGGAACATAATTAATTTAACACCTCATTGTACATATTGATATTAACTTTTTTTAAATACTCTATAAAGTATTATGTGCTTAAATACAATATTTTAAACAACTGGCAATGTTTAAATGAAAAAGGCCTTGTATTTTGTATATTCTAGAAATAATAAGCTATGAATCAAGTGTTAAACTATGTTTTTAAATTGCAAAATCATTCAATCTTTTAACATGAAATGGGAATCCCCAGAGTGGTTTAACCTTTTATATTGGTGTTGTAGAAAATCAATAAATATTAAAGCAAAATTTTATCAGTTAGATAGTATTACTTGTTAGCCATACAATATTATTCAAAACCTCTTTTTGAACACAAGAGTCACTCTTATGGGGAAATATCAGATTGGGTAAAATTTCAAGGTTAGGTAGGTAAGATAAAACGCTAATATGTTTCACACGTACATATCACGATAACTAAAACCACTAACCTGTGTTTCACAAATTAGTAAACTGTTGCTTCCAAAACTAGTGTCGCTACCATTTCGTCCTTCACCGCCTTCGGACTCCAATATAGAACTCATTTCTTCTTTAGTTATTCGAGATCTCTTACGTGACATTGTCTCATGGCTTACCGGTGAAATACAAAAAACGCATTACTAGTCAGCAAAACGACAAATTTAACCAAAATTTCAATTGCATCAAGTTTAATTTTAATATATAAAACTAGATACACGAAGCAACAACATGTATCTGTTTAAATACTTTTCTGGTTAACAAAATTTTTGATAATATTTATTACAAATAACAAAATTTTTAAACTTTATAGATGATTGAATAAGTCAACCATGACCAAAAATTATTGTCAACAAAACACTGCTGACGGCGAAGGTAACGGCAACAACGATACAATACAGAGTTGGTACTTTAGGTGCCTACACTGAATTTGAAAATTGTTCTATCAATGACAATGAAATGTATGTCACTTGTCAAAATTATTAAAGAAGTTTATAGGTCATCCGTTTTACGTTGTGATCAATCTATTAATTTATTTTAAAAGGTTTCCATATACATATTTGCTATTATTATAATTGTAATACACACTGTTATATGACTCCTTGAATAGCAACGTCAGTGTTACTGTCTAACCAACGCTGTTTTTAAAATACACATATGGAGTTGTATAAATTTTCGACGATTGGCTTTTTCTTATTTTGTTCCTGATAATATTTGAACTTCATGATATATCAATGGAATCTATAATTTATAGTTTTTTCTCTGGAATTCCCCGAATAAGTCTTATATTTACATTAGTGATCATAAGGCATGCCTATGTAGCATTAGCCTTCGCTCTTTCTCTGTCCGTTATCCGAATTTTAAAGTAGTTTAATCCATTTTAACTAAATCTCTCTAATCCAAGTTTTTCAGATTTTGAAAATATGTCATTTATTTTACTTGTGATAGTTTTCCAACCTAATTAATTATATGAATATTTTATATTCTTAAACGACAATAATAGATAGGTAAAGCACCTTTCTCTTAACACCGCGGTTGGCTAAAAAACGACATGCAATAGATTAATGAAACTAATTAGGGCGATTCAGTAATATTTTGATCATAAAAACCTGCAAAAAAACATGCTAGTTTTCTATATCATGTAGTTATTACATCAACTTAGCTTTTAGGTTTTTATAATGAATTATAAAAAAATCTTCTTGTCTAAAATTACCTTTACTGCTTTAATCAATGTACAGATGTGGAAAAAAGGTATACTCAAAGTCACTGTCTATGGATTATAACATATTTTCATATTATAGGAAGAAATAAAAATTTAAAAATTTTGATAAATATTTTAACTGAAAACTATCTTAAATTTCCAATAATGTATGAAACCTCATAGATAGATTAATTTATTTTGTTATTTGCAGGAATTCTTCATTCTGGACGAGGGTTTTCCTAAGTGCCCTTTATGTTTAGGTTAGGTTTGTCTAAGAGACGTGAATGTAATTTGTAAAGAAACAACATATAAGTTATCTTTTCCCTTGGAATATTAGTATGAATGCAGCGAAAGCTTACCCGTTGTTAATAAATAGGCAGAAAGGGTTTGCTAAGCTTCATCAGAACAGAATTAGAAGAAATGAATATTCAAAATTACTTAAGTATAAGTCATGTGTACAGTAAAAGTCGGTCTTAATGCATTTTTTTATTTCACTTTAAAATATCAAAACTATATTTTGCGTAACAATTATGTGACCAAAATATATCTCAATATAAAACTTCCTACCTACTTCGTATAAAATAAGAAGGGTGTAAGTTTTAGGTGAAAAAAAAATATTTCAAATCTTGTTTCCCATTTATAGATAATTTTGAATTGAGGAACAAGCAGACATGGATATTACTTAAATAAATATATTTACTGATTAAAACCTTTTTTGTGACTAAAACCATAAATAAGAACTTGTAATTTATTCATGATGTGATTGTTTATCGCATCCACTGATCTCAGTTATTCAAAACTACTGTCAAGTATAAAACAATTTTAAAGGAGTATATTCAAATAAATTCTATTGAATAGAATCATATATTAAATAATATTTTTTAGGCGAAAGCAGATCTTATATAAATTCTTTTTGTAGAGATCAAAATATTAGGGGGGCCTTGGCGCGTTTTCTATGAGAAAAGGTCAGAATGTAAAAATATTTTATATTATGTGATGATATTCAAGATAAATTAATTATTATTAAAACCTTGAAAACCAATATATGTTCACGTTTATTCATTCTATATAAACAACCATTAAATGAATAACCTATATCGGTCAATTAAAACAATCAATCAATGCCAATAACTTTTATTTTAGTTAAACAAAGAAATGTATATGTAATATCATATATATTCAATGAATAAAATTATATCTTATAAACAGGTCTCGTCTATTGCGAGAACAGCTACCAAAACTCCCGACAGAGCTGAAATGTAACGAACTAAAAATAAGGAATGTGACAGTCCAATTTACCAAATAATAAAAACCATGACTGACTTGGCACATGGCGTTACCGAGTCATACTTACCCATAGTAAACATTTTATGTTATCTGAGAAATTAAAATAAATAATTCAAGCAGCTATTTCTTTAATACATACACCTATCTAGCAATGATTATATGATAAAGTGATGATAGCATAAAATTGGACCATCCACATTGCATTCGGCTGTAAAATATTGATATTACAAAAAATATAAATGTTTAGAAATCATTATAATGACAGGTCAAAAAGGCGCTACTTCTGATCATCAAAATTAGTATAAAATATATCACATTAATTTTCAGCTCAACTGATATCTTATGAGATCCGAGAAAGTATTCCACAGGATAGGACAGTATAAATAAATACTAAAATGTTTCTTTCTACCAGTCATAGAGTAAAGTCATTATCAAGTGTGTAAAACATATTTTTTGGTCACAAAGAGTTTATTGCTTTATTTTTGATAGTGTAGAGGCATACATATAAGTTAGTTATAAGGGCTCGAGAGTATGACTGGCTATGGAGGCTGTGATTTCACGAGTGACGCGGGCGGTGAATACATTTCAAGCGGCGAGTGTACAGAGCCAATACTAGGTCAGCAGAGCTACTTTAAGAGCTTCTTTGTGGTCGTTACTCAATTGCATCAAGCAAGAATTGAAAAGCTCCGCATTCGTCTGGAAAATAAACAAAATATATTAATATTGATACATTTTATTAAATAAACTGTCGTCAAACTGGTATCATTTGAATGTATGGTTATTCTAAAAATTCACCCTTTCCAGATGTAATTTCTTTCATAAGATAAGTAGGTAGGGTAGATCCGTGTTTTAGCATGTCAATTAATCATATTACATATTAAATTTACATAAATCGATAAAATTTGTTTAGCCATTAATAGCCATTCAAAGGATGAGATTTAAAACTATACTTGATAAATTTCTCTTTATTCATGAAACTATCACTGTTACCTGTATTTGCCTGACGAGCGCGACCATCTGCGCGTACACTGGATTATCGTTTGGCACGGCGTCTCTCAGGAAGGCTTCGGCTAGTGTAGCGATCACGAGTCGGGGCGCGTCCGGTGTAGCGAGGGCTGGGTGTCCGCTGGCTGCGAGCTCACACAGCAGAGAGTATACATGTGGCGCCTCCTCTGTGTCCTCGACCACTGGGAGCCAGGTCAACCTGGACGACAAATACTTATAAGAAAAGAGATAGGTAACAAAAAAGGGAGCGTTCAAGTATTATGTAACGCAATTTTTGAAAATTTTTAACGCACAATAAAGAGACACCCCCTCCCGCCCTTGTAACACATCAGAACGTTTTACGAGACCTCCCCTCCCCCCAAATTGCGTTAGGTAATACCTGAACGCTCCCAAAGGCTCTAAGCAGTCAAGTTATTTTTGCAGTTTTTTGAGACTATTTTTTGTAAGTACCATAGTGCAATAATTTTCATCTACAGATTCTAAGAAAAGTTAATGGTATTGTTCTCAACTTGTTGAATTTTAATCAAACATTACTCACCAATGCCTGATGATTTCATCCCTATTGATTTGCGAGTGATTGTATTTTATAATTTTCGTAACAGCAGAGATGGCGTTTTCGGTAGCGTTTAGGTTTTCCACGGAACGTGAGTCTGGCTCGGCGATGAGGGCGGCTAGTAGGGGAACGGCTCGAGCACAGGCGGCGGCGAAATTTGGTCCTCCGAACTGAGCTAGCACTCCGCAACCGTAAGCTGCGGCTTGTCGAACTTCCGGCTCAGGCTCACGTAGACCATTCAACATCGGCTCCAAGAAGATATCTTGATACTTCACGCAGGCCGGACCTGTAATATTGAATATATTGAAGAAAAAAATAAAGGTAATATTAAAATTGTTCATTCTAATGAGTAGTGACGTACCGCCGAACTCGATGACGTCGTCGAAAATGCAAATAGCCCACTGTCGGTCGGAGTAGGGACGTCCGGGAGCGAGGAGTTGTACAAGATAAGGGAGCAGCGAGTCCAGGTGAGGGTAGAAGTTCTCGTGGTAGGCGGACATGAGCGCGTGTAACACGTCAGCCACTCGGGACAGGCCGTATATATCCTCATTATCTTCATCCGCTAGTTGTTCCTCTACAACCTAAATATATCACGGTTAAAAAATATGTCTCTGTTGAATATAAGTAAATTGTATAATCTATTTTAAAGCGCAATATATTGTTAATCTGTGTGAATAGTCGTATAATAGTTATGTCGGTTGAAGGTTGATCAAATATACGGAGGTCATTAAAAAAGGGTTTTATTTCATCTAAGTATTTTAACAGTCTCTAAACAACTATTATGATCAATTTGGAGTGTAATTAACCTCATCGTAATCTTCGTCGGCGCGCTTCTGTCTGCGTTGAGTGGCGCGCTCGAAATGCTCAGTGAGTAGCTTGTTGAGGATGCGTAACACTTCAGCCATAGATTCGTCAGACAGACATCCCGTTCCCAAGAGTTCAATGCACTGGAAAATTCAGTAAATAAGTTGAAAATTGGAAATTAATATAAATTTATCCATACTGTTTGCGTTGCCATACCTTTGCAAGACTGTTCAGCAGTTCCACTTGGACGTCTTGTTCTGGATCGGATTCTATAGCCTTCAATAATTCGGGAAGGATGTAAGCCCACATGCCCTGAATGTACTGCGGGCCGCGGATTCTCGCACACTCTAATAGATAAGGCAGAGACTCGGCGGCGGCTGTGCGCACGTTATCGTGGAAGTAAAACTTCAACATCGGCACCATTAGCTTGACAACATCTTCGGCGTATTCAGCGAAGGCCTCCTTCAATTCTCGGGCGTAACAGACCAACATGTCGCAGGCTGACGCTTTATCTTCGAGTCCTTAAAGTATTTATAACTTAAGTATTGACTTAATCTGTAATATATGCTTGCTTTATTACACATCAAATGCTTTACTAAATACTGAATATGCTTTATCGTACAGCACAATAAAGTGACTAACGTAAAGAATAATATTTATAATTAAATGAAACTAATATTTTTGGATTATTACGCGTTATTTTATTATTTTTTAAACAACATACTCTCGATGTTTCAGTTACTTTGCAGCAACCGTGATCATGGGCAGACTTGATGTGAAATATTATTAATAATTAATATTAAGTACCTGCAGTCTTTATGCCGAAGTTCTGTTGCTCTCCTAGGGTCACAAAGTGCCAGTCAAGTTCTCCCTCGATGATCTCGAGGTCGTCGTTATCTAATAAAGCTACTTCCGGCTTCATAGCAGCGGTGCGCATCACCGGCTCCATAACCATAGGTAAATATTGGGCGAATTTTTTGCCTGAAAAATATATATATTTATATTATCTTATACTTTGTGTATATGTTTTCTGGATGTCTATATTCAAATAAATAATTAATAAATACTAAAACTAGTTGCGTGATTTTTTTTTAACGTTTTACACGAAAAGATTTTTTGGTTGTTGCATACATACAAAACACTAACTATACTAAATAAATATATATGATTATAACATACTTAATTCTCAATTGTCTTTATAGATACATAATGTACAAATAATTGTTATGTTTTGAGTTTAATAATGTTAGTGAACATATTTCAGGTCTTACCCATAATTCTGCAAATTCTCGACCATGCAGAGATAAGATAGGAAGTCTGGGGATCATCGGCTGGCAGTTGATCACCCTCCGAGTGTGTCTTAAGAAGCATGTCCATAACTTCTGATGCATCACCCATAAATTTCTCTTCACCAACAGCCAAGCCTACATACAATAAAAAAAGTTAAAATATGAACTACTTATCTTTTCTAATATTATAAAAGCGAAAGTAACTGTCAGTCTGTCTGTCTGTTACGCTTTCATGCCTAAACTACTGAACTGATTTTAATAAAATTTGGTACAGAGATAGAGTTGACCTTGAGAAAGCACATAGGATAGTTTTTATCCCAGACTTTTGAAAGGTTCTCTTGGAAACGCGATATAACCGAACTCCACGCGGGCGAAGCTAAGCTATCTGCCTGCATAGCTAGTACATTATACAACCTTATGAAATAATTTCTATAACATATTGAAGACAAATTTGTATACCAAGTAACTTTTGTATAACTTACCAATCAAACTGACACACTCGATAGTCTTGCCGCGAAGCATTTTAAATTCGTCAGTAGTGGCATTGGCGATGATATATTTAAGACAGGGCATCAGCCTGTCGTAATATTCCACAAACTCTTTTTCCACAGTATCAGCAACTGAAGCAATAGTGGTCACTATCTGCTCTAGTACGAGCTTTGTGCCACTCTCTACCAACTAAAATATACAAATAATAATTAAGGAATTATAAAACAAATGTGGTTGTTTATATGTTACAAATGTTGGTTATTTGTCGCTGAACTGAGATCCCTAACTGTCTATGAAAGAAAGAGAGGGAGCAATTGTCATCATTTCTCTGCCAATGCTATGGAAGTGATAAAACTATTTATAAATGTTACCACTAACGAACATTGGGCCTTGAATCGAAATATAAATCATTATTAATTACCTCCTTAAATTTAGCAGTTAAAATTGCTTCCAGTTTACCCATGAGTGGTCCCAAGTATTGAGTTAAGATTTGTTTGGGGCAGTCTTCACTGAAGTTAACCAAGGCTGCTGCTGCATGAGCCTGTAAGTAAGAAAAAACATTATTTAAAATTATAATATTAAAAGATGACAAATATCATAAAATTGTCTCAACTTACCTGTACTCTAGGATGAGCATTGTCTTCGAGCACCATAAGTAGTCCAGGAACCACTTTGTCATGGAATTTCTTCTCAAACACCGGTGCAAAATCTGTTGACATTTGCCCCACGGCGTTGCAAGCAGCATAACGCACTCGCGGATGCTATAACATTTTTTCAATAAGTTATTGGATCAAAAATAGAAAAGCAAGAACAGGTGAAAAATTATTATTTGAAATTAAAAGCATAGATAACTTACGGGGTCTGTAAGATAGTTAAGCACGGCTGAAACAACTTGATCCAACATCTGTTCCATTTGTTTGTGACAGCCCTCCCCCGCTGACGACACAGCCATTAAGGCAGCATGCCTCCTCTTCCAGTCTTGAGAGTTCAACATTTCAGGCACTTGACCCACAATCAGACCAAGCATTATCTTGCCACCAAGACCGCAACACATACGGTCTAAGGCAGATTCTGCTGCGACATAGTTTCTGTGTGAAATATTAAATATTTTACAACACTATTATTTACATTCAAATGATTGTTAGTCTTATAAGGATAAAATAATATTGTAATCAAGGGACTGACATACTCGTGTATAAGGAACACAAGATGCTAATTATCTTGATGTATGCTCTAGTAAGTGTCTGTATAGTCCATAGTTTGCCAACTAAAAAACCACAAACAGAAACTTACCCAACTATTGAATTTTATGATACTATGAAATTACTCACAATTCGTTGTCATCATCAGAGGCATTATCCTGAACGGCCCAATCAGGTTCCTCTTCTAACTCGCACATCATATCTAGTATGAGTGGTGTCAATAAACGTATGGCATTAGGAACAACTTTCCTGACCATTGCTGGCGCTGTCTCACATAATGTCACTAGTGCTTCTAATGCCAACTGACGCCAGTTGTCTTCACCATCCTTGTCTCCAATAACCTACACATGACTTTATGTTAGTAGATATATCATTTAAAAAGATATACATAACTTTTCAGTTATGTTGATGTTGCTGTTTTCACAGCTCAATTATGTTCATGAAAATTCTTTAACAAATGACTAACATTTACATGTGTTAGAATTCATTTAAGACTTGTGTATAACATTCTAGACACATTTTAATTTTTTAACCAAGTTACTGACAGCTTTTGAAAATTCTTCCATACATACAAAAATGTAGGCATCTCAAATATAAAGTTCTTGAAATATTTATAGTAAAAATATGTATAATAAAAACATACCAATAGGAATTATTCTGATTAAAAGAATGGTTTTGCTCTGTGGAAAAATCTAAATGTCTTTAGTTAATATTTATCTTACCTTTATGCACACTTGAAAGATTGTCTCCACTTGTGGTCGCAAAAATTTAGGAGCAGATTCAGCCAGCTCAATAAGGACTTTTAATGCTGCATCATCATCGGCCTTCTCAATTGATTGTACTACAACCTAAACCAACATATATTGTATATTAATATTTTTGTTAATGGAAAAATATAATACTTTGTAATAAAATATACATGTCTTGAGGGCTACTATCAAACTCTGGCCTATTGATAGGTCAGTGTTAGCGAAATCCTCTAATTGCTATTGCACATTATGGCAGTATATAATTCATCGAGAAATATACACGTAGGAGTTTATGTGCTATCAATGTAAAGGACAAACAAACATATTAAACACCTGCATAAAAGGCAGAAGGAGATCGCTGAAATGTTTCTGTATTGCTGGTTCTTTGTCATGAAGGAGGATAAAAGCTCCAACAGCTTTAACGGCTTGCATCTGTAGTGCCTCCGATTCTGTTGGTTGTAGCGTTGATAGCAACATCCTTTTTATTACATCCAGGTTTTCATTCTGACGATTACCAAAAACTCCTGGCACAGATCTACAATAATAAAAAAAATATAATTTTTCCTTATAATTCAATATTGATATTGTTTTATATAACATTTGATATGTTTATTTTCAATTCTAGCTTAGCTACTATTGAAATTTTTTAAACAGTAACTTTTGAATAACATGAAATTTTATTACTTTTTTTATCTTTACATGATATTAGACTATACATAACTTTTGATAATGATAATTAGTATACAGTAATACCCTCATATTTTGATATAAGTAATGAAATATAATTTATCTTACACTTACGTGAACATTCTGATCCCAGCCTCTTTAATGTTAGGGTCTTGTGCACTCGCACAGTTGAACATGAATTGAAGGAATTCTGGCCACTGGTTGACTCCATCGTCATCTATATGATTTCTTGCTAGCTCTGATACAACATCGCAAATCTAAAATATAATTAAAACTATACATTGTAAAATAACACCATTTGTATGCAACTAAGTACTTAATGTGACTATCTTAGGTGAAGCAATCCAAAATTAGACTGATCACCTCACTGATTCATCATGAGTCATTGTTAATTAGGAACAAACCTTAATTGAACAATGGATGAAATTGTTTTATTCAGTTTAATATAGAGAATTTATTGATGTTTTTTGTATTTAAAACTATGATTTTTTGGACCCTCTATGCTGTAAATAGTATATATACATATGTACTTACTTTTCTTCTCAACTGTTGACTAACATCCATTTGCAATGTGAGCAACAACTGTTCTCTAAGCATAGCTTGCTGATCAAAAGGTAGTTTGGGGAAAAATTCAAAGAACTCAGCGCTAAGCAACCTTCGCAGGAGTACTGCTGCGGTTTCTCTGGCTTCCTCGCCAAGGTCTGCATTTTGGATAGCACCAACTAAGTGGACTACCTTCGTTTCGGTTGGTATATCATTATATACTTTCTACAAAAAAATTAAATACTCCCCCTTAATTGCGATACAAAGATACTATAAATTAGAGCTCAAAAATAACAATAAAATAGATTAAAAAAAAACTAATACAATTATTGTTTTTTACAATAATTATGAGCAGTATAAGTAAGGCGTACTATAAAAACAACATCACCACATGTCTGACAATTTGAGCCGCCCGCTAATATGGTTATGCTTACGAATTGAAAAATAAAAATGTAAGAAAATGTATTCTCTGCTAATTAACTACTGCAAATTGAAGATATTAATGATAAAAAGTAATTTTTAAGACTATTTTTACGTGTTAACGCCAATTAAATAACTTTTTTCTATGACCACGTTTTGACACGAGGCCACGGCCCAGCGTTATTTCAGTTTTAATAGCAATTATCCACCTAAAGGCATAAAAGAATATCAAGAAATATTTAACATTGACACAATCAAGAAACTCACCTCTGCTTGTGATCTGGTTTCATTATCTATAGACAATATTGTATTTAATAATTGATAAAACTGAGCCTGGTCTCCTGCCATGTTGAACCTCTTCAAAAAGGCCCGATTTTTTTATAAAATTTTACGCGGCTGCTACTGTTCTAACGTGTTGCCAGTACTATTTGAAATGTTACTTTCAATAGGCCTGTTTTTCAGTTTTTCAAGAAAAAATATCTACCAAGAAAGAGTTCCTTTAACATTGACTGTAATATTACAGTAAATCGTGTCAATTTACTCTATTATATATAATATTTTGTACAATGACACTAGATAGAAAAAGCAATATCATTTATCTTACTTGAAAAAAATAATCAAAATCATGATTCTACATTTTTTAATAAGTAAAATCGTGTAAGTTTCATAAGTGTTCTACAATTTAATATACCTTATATGATATAGAAAATCAAATAATTATAATAAATATTCAAAAACAATAGTTTTTGGAAGATTTCACAATGTTATGTATAATTCGTCTCTGATATATCTTCTTTACCTTTTTCTTTTTTTCGTATAAAATATGTGTTTATAATGAACTTCAAATTGAATATCCATTTTTTACATTTACATTAAAAAATAAATTATTTCGACCTTACTGAGACTATAGATTTATAATGTAGTACATTTCTATTAAGATTATTATTTTTCTAGAATACGTTAGAAAAATATTTTAACATTATTTTGTTGTATATCTTCAATTATAAAGACCATTCAAATACATATAAGATTTAATTTCCGTTGCAATTTTTTCATTTGTAATTTTTCTCCTTCCGTACAGAAAATTTACTAGTTCTTCGAATATTCTTAGTGACAAATATCAAAATATGTTTATTTTGACATAAGATTCTGTGGTATACAGTAAATAAACAGAAAATATTCATTTATTATTTAATTCTATAGTTTCGTAACACTGTATTAGTTTATGCATATTTCTAAACATTAATGTCATTTTAAGTGTCAATACTCAATAGACGTCTGATTACTGTCAACTTATGTTTTAGCTTTTTTCAGTATTTTCCAGGCAAGGAAACTTAAAAAAATATTTCAATAAAATATTATAATGCTTATGTAATGAAAAAATCCATAAAATAATTGGACTTGCTATCGCGAATATATTATACTAGCTTCCTCAACAGACCGTCGAAAATGGTTCGTAAATTTAACCTTAAAAATATTGCGCAAATAAATATATTTTTTTCTAATACTCACAATTTTACATATTTAGGCTAGTTCTGTCATACTAGCGGGGCTTGGGATGGCTGCCGTCGGCTTTGCAGGTCGTTATATTCTTAGGCAGATTCCAAACGCGTCGTCGAAATTTGCCGAAGCTATGAAAAATCTACCCAAATTTGATTCAGAGTCCTTGGCAAATTCAAAATATTATAAGGGTGGTTTTGAGCCTAAGATGACGAAAAGAGAAGCTGCTTTGATCTTGGGTGTTAGTCCTACAGCCAATAAATCTAAGGTATACTTTTTAAGATACACAGATATTTTTTATTTTATACAGTTATTAAAATTACTAAATAATTTTAGATTCGCGAAGCTCACAGAAGAATAATGTTATTGAATCACCCAGACAAAGGAGGATCTCCACTTATTGCAGCAAAAATTAATGAGGCAAAAGATATGCTTGAAAGTGGAAAATCATGAGCTTAACCCAATATAGCCATTCTGATGTTAAAGTTATGCACAACTGATGTTGTTACTATATAACAGTTTAGGGGCCCGTCACTAGATCAATTATAGCAAAAAAACATTCTTAGAAATAAAGACAGTTCTCAACAAATTCATAATTTATTCTAATACAAAGACTTCTTATAACATTTATTAAAGAACATCACTAACACACAGATTACTCATTAAGCAAAGTCATTATTAAGCAAAGCTTAAAACCGCATACATATTACAAGAAACGGTAATTGTTTTATACTTTCAAAAATTTCATTAGAAAAATACATAGGTACATATATTTTAAGAAAAATAGAATTAATAGTGTAAATATAATACAAAAAAGATAGGAACCCATGTACTTAGATGTGAAAACTTAAGTTAGGAAAGAAATATATAGCTAAAAAAATTACAAGTAATTGTCTTTTAGTTATGAAACTTAAACAATATCAACAGATATATAACTTTTTTTAAACATATGTAATGTATTCTATTAGCTTCTAAGAAGGGTATATATATTATGCCAAAAAATAATTATATAAAACTATGTACCTAGCATAAGGTACTTTTATTGTTCTCATTGTCAATATTAGTGCCGCAGTCTATTTAAACTCCCAAGTAAAACATTTTTTTACTATTGTTAATAAATAATTTCATCCAAAGAAATCTAACTCAGAGATATGTTTAAAACAAATGTATTTTACTTAATACCTAATAAAATCACCTGTTTCCTATGGCATATAAACTACCCACAAACCAAAGTTAGCATAATTTTAACTTTACTGATTTGACTTGCTTTTAAAAAAAAATATTAACATTTGTCATATATGAGTGATTCAATCATTTCTCACTCAAAAGTTTCTTAATTAAAATAAATACTTTAACCTAATACATCCAATTAATGTTAAAAAATTGGATTGTAGTTATCGAAAAGGGTACATAAATTATTCACACAAATCATTAAGGAGTATAGAAGTCATGTAATTTCATAAACCTTCAAGAAAAAGTCATTGAAGTAATAACAACAACAAAAAAATAATATAAAAAGACAACTGGTAAAATTAAAATTACCTGTTGAGAAAAATTAAAAAATAATTGTTCATAAATTTGGTTCATGTGAGTAAAAAAATTACTAAGTTTTGGGACTAGTTAGATTGTACAGTAGTGCCCGTCGGATGCGTATTATAACATTACACTAAAACATTAAAAACTATTACTGAACAAGTTGAACTCTAAGTATAATAACAACAGTTTTAATAGAAATTTGGTAAATCTTTTGATGAGATGAGATCAAAAGTTCCTGTTAATCATTTATGAAATGATTCATCGGTGTTCCTTCTGTTGCTGCTCCCGGCGTTGCTTGGCGAAGCGGGCTCTTAACTTTAATATGGTCGAGTTTGAAAGAGTGCCCGGCACTTTAAAAATGGACTGCAAAAAAAATATGTGTGGTTTATATCACTTCTGATATAAATAATTAAGTTTATTAACAGTATTTTATATCTAAAGGGGAGAGTTTTTTAGTATTGTACAAATTTTCATAGTCATGATAAGTATGTTCATAAATGTCAGCGTTACATATAGTTCGACCTTTCAACTAAGGTAAAATAACTTGTACTTAAATAGGTTTTCTTTGGGATCTGAATGGCAGCAGCTCTTATTTTAAATGCCTTTATTAAACATACAAATACGACCAAAAAGCTATATAAGAATGCTATACAAGTATTTGAAAAACTAGGTCCAGTTAAATGATACTAATATTTTTCGGAAATACTACGCGACTTTATTTTTTAGTTTCGGCTACTTTTCCGCAACCGTGATCACGTCTAGAGATGTCCATTAAATGATTACACGCGAAAATATTAGATCTCATTAGGTCTGGTTATATACTATGTTATATAACTTGTCCTGGTATTACAAATAGTGTTATGGCTATAACATTTTTCCATTGTAATTAGCAGCTTTTCTTAGCTGGGTTTGTGTAGGAGTGTAATCGAAAGGGGTAGTTGGCCCAATGGGACCAATAAATGCTAGCGTATATGATACATACTAAGTTGAAGATGGGTATAAAAGTTTTGAACTGAATAATAAATAACAAAATGAGGTAGGAAGTGAGAATTCAGAATATTAAACATGTAAAACTTAGCTTTCACAAAACAGGTGCATTCAAGTTAGGAGCAAAATTGTGGGTAAAAATAAATACAGTTTTGCCGTTTGCAATAGTATAAATTTAAAGGTCGGCATTGGTGGCTTTTCAATCTATCTTTCTACCCTAATAATGAATGTAATTCTGACAGCAAGTAAGTTCAATGTTAAAAGTTTTTAAGATCACATGTAAAATTAATTCTATTAAGAATAGAACACATGTAGACTTGTAATTACACCATAGGGTGTAGAGGAATATGTTTTGAAAATCTATTCATTTTATAAAAATCTAAATAACAATATCATTTAAATATCATTTCATAATTTTTATAACCAAAGTATATCTGGTTTTAATTTAAATTTCATAAATATATATATTTAATATTAGTTTAGCAATGTAATATTTTATTAAATATAAAACCTTTTAAGATATAGATGTTATAATATAAGAGTTGTATGTGGTGATATAAAACTTACTTGCATGAATTCATGGCAGTGTAATGCACTCGCATTCTTCACGATAGCTTTGAAACATTCAGCCAAGGAAGTGAAATCATTACAGGCCAGTATGGACGCTCTGTTATTCCTTATGAGCGTCAGACAGACTCGGAACAGTATTTTGGAGCCCTCGTAAAAAAGGCAATCCCATATTCTCAAAACTGTCTCTATGGGCAGAACTTCAGCAAACAGGCATACAAACCACTTTGTGGTTATCACCGCCCAAGGTAAACCTAAAAAGGTAAAATATATAAATAATTTATACTATATATAATTGATAGATAGCTGATAAAGTCATGACCAATAATTATCTTAATCTGCAGAGATAATATTGGGTTTTCTTTTACAAACCTAAGTTGATTACATGTTGATGTACATCAGGTACTTTGGATTTGACGAGTTCGGATAAAACTTCAATATCCACAATGAGACCGTCCATAGTCTTAGTGTAGTAGTCGGGAAGAATCTTTTCTACCAGAACTTTGAGTAACCAAAATGAGGTTTCCTCACTTTTCGTGGCAAGTAGCAGTAAACCTAGGTTGATGAGAATAGTGAAGATTATCAAGAGATATTTTAACTTTTTTTCTATAATGATTTTATAGTAATATTTACATTATAAATTCTATCTTACCTGCTATGTAGTTCAGGCCTTGACAATAGCCGACAACTCTGTTATTATGAGCATAGGCTATTAAAACATGGAAGAGATGCGTTTGGTGGTTAGCCTCTTTAGAGAAATAAATGTTATCAGGGAATGTACGTGGAAGGTCGGTCTTTACAAGATCAACAAGCTCCTTTTCAAACGGGCCATCTAAAATCTTTTGGTATAAATCTGGTGTTGATTCTTTCATTTTTTCTGCTTCCGATATCGCCATCCATACTGATGGTCGATGGTCACCTACAAAAATTGGTGCATATTTTACAAATGACAATTATTTATATATTTTTTTAAATACGATTCATTAGTTTGAGATATTTAACATAGTTTAAGAAAAACTGACTTGGAATTCCTTTGCGAACATATCTTTTAACAGTATTTGTACGTTTGACCGACTTTCCTTCCCCAAGTAATGTTGACCATTTTTGCGCTCTTGAAGCCAATACTTTTAAATAGTGCGACATAAAGTCTTCATAACTTTCGTAATCAAAATCATCGTGTCGTTCGAAGCCATATTCATCGACAGTACTAAAACAAATTCATTATTGTTATTATTTTTAAATCACACGAGTAAGCACAATTTGTTATGGTGAATCATTCGTTTTACACCTAAAACTTGAATGAGCCATCTTCATGGGATTGATAGATTTTACACTATATTTTTACGATCATTCATAATTAAATACTCTCATTTAATTAACACTATTTTATATTTTTCTTTAGGTACGCCCCCAAATACCCCACTTAATAAATTCTTACTCCGTCCTCATATGACAGTCTTACTTTTTATTAAAATTATTAAATATACTGACCAAGGTTTAACGTATACAGCCAATTTTTATGTTTAATTATTTCTTAAGAAATTTAATAAAGAAGGCGAGGAATCAAAGAGTTAATAAGTTATTTATTTTTAAAGTGATTGTTTTTTAAATAAAAAAATAATAGTTTTTCATGTTAATATTTTTATGAAATCAATTGATGATAAATTTATATTATCATATGTCAAGTGTCAAGCTGAATAAGAATGTCAAACTGAATAATAATATTGAAATATTTGTTTGATTTCCTATTTTTTGTAAATATAAGTGAAAAATTATTCAAAAAATAATCATATTAATATGGGTCCACCACCCGTTGTGACTGGTATTTCTCCGAAAGAAGGTCCTCCAGGAACTAGAGTGACTATTCGGGGGGAGTTTCTTGGTACCACGGCTACTGATTTAATTGGTAAAGATCTAAACTGAAAATGTTCTAAATGCTATCTAAATTATAATTAAATATTAAATATATCTTACTTTTACCATCAGGCTTGAAAATCTGCGGTTGTGAGTGTTTACTATCAGCAGAATGGAAGAGTCGAAACAAAATAGTGGCACGATCTGGACCTTGTAAAGGCAGAGGTGATATTATAGTCACTACCAAGTCAGGCGGAGAGGGTACTTCTACTGTACAATTCCGAGGTTTGAATTTTTACACTAGATTTGACAACTAAAATAGATTTTACTTTATAATATAAATAATATTATATACCAGGTTACCATGAATCAATTGGCCCAGTCAAAGAGAGTGCTGTTTGGGTGGAAGAAGCTGCTCCTCCATCCCTTCCATGGGGGAGACGACCAATGTCTCCCACAGCCTATACACCCCCTGATCCTCTAGGTCTATCAACCGAGGGAGAAGACAGCAAGTTTCCCGAGGAGGAGCTCAACGAACTATTCCCTGATGGGTTAGAACACACAATTGTTTATTATCTAGTTCAGAGCTGTCCAAACCATGGCCTATTTGGATTAGTGCTTCTAGAATCCTTTTTATCTTCTTTGTTTAAAAACATTAATGAGCAAATACTGGTTATAAGGACATTATTATTACCAGTATTTTTATAAATATTTTGCTACCCACCAATGTACTTATTTATTTGCATGGTCCCATCCGGTATTGACACTCCTGATCTAGTTTAATAATATTTCATGACACACCACATGACATAACTGATTGGTTAAGTTGATGATTAACTATCTTTCAGATCTGGGAAGCTGTCCGATGAGAATTTCCAACCAGGCTGGTATCTTCTTGAACATCATAGCAACACATCTTTCGAGGACTTGAAGGCTGGAATGGTGTTTTTGCAGAGAAAGGTATTTGCTTTTATTAATACTGACTATGCATATAAAGAATTGAAACAATTGCACTGTTGAAGCTCCTCTCCCTGCAACGCGATGCACCCGGCACCCGCATGGTGAATCCATTGAATGCTAAGAGGTCTCTCTAATGTGTTGTGGCTTATTTAGTTTAAAGATATGTTCACAATACCTTTTAATGCAAATAGGTAACATTGTTAGGGATTTACTTAAGTGTGTGTTAATAAATAAATGTGTTTGTAATAAATTATTTCTGTTTCAGGTAGAAGGTCAGAAGGAAGGTCAACTCAGCTTCCTTAAAGCCAACACTGGTGCTGTAATGGATCAACTTGATAGATTGGTGCTTCTTAAAAACATGTATGAGGATGACCAGAGGAGGAATGGGAAAGAACCCTTGCCGAGCTTACAGAGTGCAATTGAAGGTAGAAATTTATAATAAGACTAGCTTTTCGCCCGCAGCTTCACCCGCGTGGAGTTTGGCTATATCGCGTTTCCAAGAGAATTTTCAAAAGTTTGGCATAAAACTATCCTATGTTCTTTCTCAAGGTCAACTGTATCTCTGTACCAAATTTCATTAAAATCAGTTCAGTGGTTTAGGCGTGAAAGCGTAACAGACAGACAGGCAGAGTTACTTTCGCATTTATAATATTAGTAGGGATTTATAACTAAAAGCAGCCTTTTCTAATGTGGGTGATAACATCCCCTTGTGGGTGCTACAGGTCTAAAGGGGGATGGTAAGGGACCCAGTTAACAAATAGGAATGTTGAGTAGAGGCATGGGGGTGATTTGTAATTTCATTTATCTTAGATAAGTTATAGTGGTTTCTCAGTGGGTGATGAAATGGGAATACTAAAAAGTAATATTTTCAGTAGGTAGTACACAAAATAGTTTTGGGAACCGCTAACTTGTAGTTTAGTCATCTCCTTCGATTAGTGTAAATTAGTCATACAAAAATGAGAGAATAAATTTCTTAGCCCTTTCTTACCCCTGGCAGTAGACAGATGCTAGACAATAAAACAAGGACATAGTACATGAACAAATGTTGATTGCTGTATTTCTTAAGAATTATGCCTACAAGGTGCGTATCTAATGAATTGTAGAGTTACAAGAAATTTTTATTAAATTTACAATAACATCATTAATAGTAAATATTTTGGTAAGTTGATGTGTATAAAAATGATACAGTGATGTCATTAATTTGGAACTTAACGTACTAGTAAAAATGTGAATCCATATGATCATGGAAAATATGTTATTTTATCATATATATTTTTTGTATAACCATATAAAAGTCAAAAAATTACAGGCAATGTATAAGCTAGGTATCAAAATCCTCGGATCTCTGAGTGTATCCAGAATTATCTGTTTATCAACGAATCTTCTAAACGCAACTAATTACACGTTTTTGCTAACTTTTTAACATGAAAAAATTTATCATAACGAAAGTTCTCTTCATAGCATGATTATAATAATGAGATATTTGTTTTCAGAATCCATAACCCTCGCTGATTCACTGTTCTCCGAGATTTTGACACGCAAAGAGAATGCTGATAAGACACGCGAGGCGCTATCATTATTGACGCGTCACAAGTTCCTGTTCCAACTGCCAGCATCCATAGACAAGAATATACGGAAGAAAGAATATGATCTCGTTGTCAATGATTATGCGAGGGTCAAAAATCTTTTTGGCAACACCGATGTCAAGGTATATTGTGTCATTACAAAGAAAAATTAAATTATATTGAATGTGTAATTTAAATATAATAAATTTTTAGTTATTCCAAAAAATTCTCGCCGAAATAGACAAGAAGATTGAGGATTTGAAGGAGAATTTACATAATCGTATGAAGACTATGCCTATAAATGTTCAAGAGCAGACGAAATATATAAGGTAATATAAAATACTTGTCATATAAGATTTCACATTAGTTAAATACACTACCTATTTTTATATTTATCAACCTTTAGTCTAGTAGACGGCTTGATTCTTCTTCTTCTACCTGGCAAATAGTAAATAGTTTTGGCTAATTGTTTTTACGACCGGCCGCCTGCCTGACATCAACCCTTTTTGGTAATATATTAATCAGTGATGTCTAAATACTCTTAGAAACTACATATGACTCGGGAAAATCACATTGGTACTTGCCAGGATCGAACCCGCGCTCTCGTGCATGAGAGGCGGGCTTTTTAACCACTATGCCACCCCTGACTTTGTTGACGGCTTGATTATAATATTTAATTTATAAGGTTTTTTATGTTAAAAAATATTTATGGATTTAATTTGTTCAAATACCTAGAATCAAGCATATTCATTCATGAATATATTTTGTTTTTACAGACTTCTTATAAGTTTGAACTGGGAGGGCGACGCCGCGTGGGTGGCCATCACAACACGGAAAGAATACCTCATGAGTCTCATGAGTAAGGTCAAAGAACACTTCAAACAGAAGGAGGAACAGGAATCCAATGAGAAAGGCTAGTTTAAGTATTAAATATGTATTGAAAAATATGAGGGTAGAGGTTAAAATATTCGAGGATAGTTAGAAAAAGTGTGGTAAAAATTACTTGACGATAACGGTAGATGGCGCTGTTGGCTGGTAAATATTTTTTGATTATACCATCTCTACTATCTTAATCCATTTCCGAAATATACTTCGAAAGTGTCCCACGAGTAGGTTGTCGTAGTCGTAAGAGTTTGTAATAGAACATTTTATAATTATTTCTCACTTTGGCAACCATATTGTACCGCTTTGTACTTCATACCTATGTATTTTCTTCTGCCTGGCAATTTCCCAGCTATAGCCAGGGTCAGGCTTACATGTTGTGAATAGTTTTGGCTAATTATTTTTACGACTCGCCGCCTACCTGACATCAACCCTCTTTTGGGAATCAGCATTAATCAGTAATCTCTAAATACTCTTAGAAAGTACATATGACTTGGAAAAATCACATTGGTACTTGCCAGGGCCAGGATAGAACCCGCGCCCTCGTGCATGAGAGGCGATCCTTATAACCACTAGGCCACCACTGACCTTCATACCTATGTTTGTATTAATGGAATATCCAATGTATTACAGGTCGTCGTCGTAAGGAGAGCGAGGAGGGTCCTTGGAGCGCGGTGCGGGCGGCGTGGTGCGCGGCCGCCTGCGCAGCCCTAGCCTCTGAACTACACGCGCTGTGGCCGCTCGCTAGACGATACTTTGCGGGGGAACTAGCTGGAGAGCCTAGCGATCCACAGAGACAAACCGCTTTGAAGGTTCATATATAATCTACTCGCTGCAGATTTCCGGAATGTAAACTAGCCTATGTCTTATTCCTGGACGTCAGCTTCCTGTATACAAAATTTTATCAAACTCAGTTCAGCCGTTTGAGCGTGAAGAAGTAACAGACATACCCACACACCAACAAACTTTCGCAATTATAATATTAGTAGGATTTACCTTTATTCATTTTATATAAGGCTGCAAGTGATAATTGACTTTTGTATAATATGTCATGGTGGCCTAGAATTTAAAGGCCCGTCTCTAATGCTTGAGATCGCGGGTTCGAAACCTGGCAAGTATCAATTTGATTTTTACGAGTCATATGTACTTTCTAAGAGTTTTTTACACCAATGATAGACGGTGAAGGAAAAACATCGCGAGAAAACCTGGGCTTATAATTTCAAATTATAAGTTTGAAATCGCCAACCCGTCTTGAGCAAGCGTGGTGATTAATTCTCAAACCTTCTCCATGAGAGAAGTGGCCTTTGCTCAGCAGTGGACTGTGATAGGCTAATAATGACCTATCTACTTACCTTTAATTAATATATACATATATCGCCGCAAGTGATCGTTTAACATTTGTATTATATGTGATACATACAATGTTTATCTGTCCTTATGTAACAGTATATAGAATCAAATAATATATGTATTCCTTTTAAATGTTAGTTCATAGAGTAATTTAAATAATATTATCATATTAAAGTATATAAAATCTTAAAGTTTATTTCTCTGTAGGATGACATGCGCACGCGCAGAAATTCACAAAATTGAACATCAATTTCGCATAAACTGTAGTGGTTGAATATTTGATAATACTAATAATACTTTTAATATATTTCCAGGAGATGATAATAGCCGCTGTAGAAGTATTCTCAGATCAGATGCGTTCGTGTTTGTTATCGAGTGGTCCCAACGCGGGGTCTTCGGTAGCGGCTGATGTTTTAAGAACAAGGTTGTTGGCGAACTTGCGCAGTTTGAGGGACGCTTACGACTCACTGCTGAAGTTAGATTTACCATCACAGGTAGTTATTTATTATTAACTAGTTATTTCTTGCGACTTCGTCTGTTTAGTTTTAGAATTAAGAATGTATGGATTACCGCGCAGACTCTGTTCCTCTTAAAGGGCAGTAAATAAGAATATTTTGGATTTTATCAATAATTTTTAGGTTTCCTGGTTTTCTTGGTACTCAGTTATTTCACTACCAATTTTCATCCAAATTTATATAGCTGTTTTTGAGTTATAAATAGTGTAAGTAACACGACTTTCTTTTATATTTAAAAATTTTATATGGCATATTTAATATAGTGAGTAGTCGTTAATGTTTATAACTTGTAATAATAAGTACGACCTTAGTCTCTACTTGAAGTGAAATTGTTAACTGTCTATTTCTAACATAGAATTCTTAAGAGCTAGTCTTGTTGTGTAAATTACCTCATGTTTCTCACGCCACACTACACGTTAACCGTTTTTAATGTTCATTCATAAATTTTATTAAATACTAGCAACGCTTTGTATGTGATATAACGATGAAGGTTTGTGGTAAGGATGAAAAGTATATCAAATGATCTCGGCATTCATGAAATGGCACTAAAAATATTCAATCATTACTTTGTCTTACTTTTCCAATCGAATAGTCATTTTCATACTATATGCTGTTATATCTACCAAAAAACTTGACATTATTGTGAAAATAATAAGTTTCATATTTTGGGTTATACATATAATATGGTTTATATGCAATAACTTTATTTCCAGCCCCTGAGTATAGTGGAGAAGGTTGTTTTCGACTACCGCGTGTACGGCATGACGGTGTTCCTGCAACGAGCTCACAAACGAGTGAAGACTCTCTCCGAGACTGACACGTGGAAGATAAAGGAATTCTCAGACTACGGAGCTATTACTGAACTTGTAAATATATTACTATAATTTATATATATATAAATTATTTATTTTAAGTTAGAATTCTTTAGGTAATTATGGATAAATGTCCCATTAAAGTGTACATTTTCTTAAATAGTATAGTCCTTATATGTAGTTTTATTTGTTTGTAAATTTGTATTTAATTATTTTATTCACTATGTGGCCATTCAAATATCACGTAAGCACTATGGAGGGGCGGGGGGGGGGGTCTTTGCTTTGCTTATTTTGGATGACATGGGGGTAGGCGAGGCTAGGTGATGATTACGTCATCGGTAGTTATTTACTTTTTAATCGCCACATCGAGAAGATCCATAAAAAAATATTTTTTTTCTGGATTTATATGAAAAAAAAAAACAATACAGTAATTGAAAATGTTTACGTAAGCATTGGGGGAGGGGGTAAGAGCTTTGCTTACTTTTGCTGACAAGGGGGGTGGGAGGGTAAATAATTGTAATAAATCTGCTTACGTAATACTTGACCGGCCCCTATGTCATATGGTAAAAAGTATTCTAGAAATACATTAGCGTAGGATTTTTCTAATATTATCTCAGACCTATATCTTTCTTTTTCCTAACTCCTAAGCTTAATTGGTAGAGAATGCATCTTAGCGTTAGTCCCATTCTGAGCAAGATTTATATGTGCGTAAAAAAACAGTTACTTTTATACTAAATACCCATTACCATTAATATTTAACATATACATTCAATATATCCAAACAATGTCGTTAAATATTAACTATTTTCATTCCCAGCCCCACCTGTTAGAATCATACATGACAGATGCGTTATCATCTATATACAAGTGTGTGTTATCGAGCGGGCGGCGTGAGTCAGCGTTGCTGTCTGACGGCAGCGAGCCGCTGGTGCTGCTCCGGACACACACGCAGCACATCCTGCTGGCGTATGTCGCTGTGCTGCACGAGATAGCGCTGCAGCATGATGACCAGGTATCTGATTGGTTCTTTTACTGTGACCTAGGAACCGAGGGTAGTTGTATAATTTGTCAGATGGATACTTTTACTACAAGATAGGAAATGAGGTATATGTATAAGGTAGTATAATCCGAAAAATATTAATTTCATTTAAATACTACATATATTATGTTGTATATTCTGTCAGATATAAATGTATTTGTCATGGAATATTTTTGTATTATACGTTGTGTGGAGTATCTATGACTCTATATGGTATATTTGATGAAAGTCATGACACTTAAAAAAGACAAGTGGAATCTGTAATGTTCAAGGTCATTTCAGTCGTTTTTAACAGGTATACGACTAGAGTGGGGTGTTAAAATTATAAAGTAAAAAGAAGTTAAAGAGAGTTATTATTTTAGTAAATTTCCGTGAGAACTTTTTCATTCCCTTTTTGTTCAATATGGTGTCTTATGTTTTTTTTCTAAATCACAATATTATTGACATATAAACGTCTTTACCCTCAAGTATATAAAAATGGAGAATTCTCAGCTGCCATCACACTCACAATTACTGGTTTGATAAAATACTGATTAGAATTTAGTAATATTCACACAAATAAAATTTAATCAACAGATTCTCATATCTAATCAGTATAGCATGCAGAAAAAACTGTAAATGACCTTTTTTCTTCATAGCTGAATCTATTTTCGAAAATAAAATATGATTTGCAAAAACAATATTCAAGAGTTTAACACAAACTTGCAAAAAGCTGTAGTCAATTAATAATTAATCTATCACATCAATATGCACTATTCACATCTCGTCTGTCCGTGATCACGGTTGCTGAAAAGTAACCGAAACTTCGAGATCATGTAGTTTAAAATAATAAAATACGCGTAATACTAGTTTAATACATTAATAATACAGATAGGGGCCCCTTAAACCTACACTTGGTTCGCAAGTCCCAGGCACTGTTGAAGCTCCTCTCCCTGCAACGATGGACCCGGCACCCCCGCTAATAAACGCTAATCTATTGAATGCTAAGAGGTTTCGTTTCTGTCATTAATATCAGATATGTCTAATGTTCCAGGACTTCAACAGTTCTTCACTGTCAGTAGCGTTGGACCAGCCCTTAGAGGAGTCTCGTGGCGCGCAACAGAGACTGCTTGTGGCGGCCGCAGACGCTTTATACACTAGACGAGTCACCCTCAATAATATTGCTGAAAAATTTACTAGGTGATTACCAAATTTTGGGTACTAGATACTTTTTACACCTTTTCCTAGGCCATTTGCAGTATATGTCCCAAATATAGCTTTGTAAGACCTATTTTCACTGTCATAAAATTAAAAGATATAATTATTTAGAGTTTACCATCTGTATTTGCCATGAAAATGTATAGTAACATTTATGTTATGTAATTTACTTTTATATTACAGTTCCCCTTTATTTATTTTTATCACAATAAAAGTACGTCTACATAAAATGCGGTAAATTAAACATATTTCACTATAAATACTAATGTTATTTTAAAGGAAACTTAAATTCAATAAAACCATACAAAATATTTCAACGAACCATATTTTACAGCTTCGATTTTCCAAGTCCGACAGCAGCGCTACAAGCAACAAGGGACGCGCTGAGCAATCTAGAAGCTAGCATCGCGGAGACGTATCTAGAACATAAGGGGGATCCACTCGTTGGCACCATAGAACCTAGTATGTACATGGGCAGACACACAATACATCCTGACGCTATAGTAGACGACGCAAGGCCATATGTTTACGAAATCATAAACAACCTGATAGCTGTCCATGCCGAGGTTTGTGGCTTTTCCATATATAATACTAGCTGCGCCCCGCGATTTTAACCGCGGATTTCCGGGATGTAACGTAGCCTATATGTTATTTCTAGACGTCAGCTTCCTGTATACAAAATTTTATCAAAATCGTTTCAGCCGTTTGAGCGTGAAGAAGTAACAAACATACACACACACACTCACAAACTTTCGCAATTATAATATTAGTAGGATACAGAATATATTTATCTGTAGCTTTGTGACAATATGTGTATGTACGAGATTGATGTATTCTTCAAGTCAAATGGTTATTAAACTTAATAAACTGTTTTTATGAATATCATGACCCCACTGGCATAAATATATTTAAGATTCTAACAAAATCTTTGAAAAATTTAGTTTTCTTATAAAGCCAGCACTTTTAAATAAGTAACAAAAACTTAATCAGAACAAACTAATTATTTTCTTTTAAACTAAAACACTAAGTTAAATTCAATTTACAAAGACGTAAGTCGTGTTGACAAAATACTTTCCCGTCTTAAAGTGAACAAATCAAACGTCATCGCTTTAAAATCACTTCGGGAATTTACAGATTCGGTTCAAATTAAATGTGTGTTCCCTAAATATGTATAGGTATAATAACGTAGTATTCAAATTATTGTATGTCAACAGTTTATCATTGTCGTCACAAGATAGCGTTAGCTGTATTCTGAATCACGCTATTGTACATTCCGGATTTTTAGTTACAAATCTAGTAACTAGATGGCGTTAGCCGTAGTCTGAATCACGCTGTTATATTTTCTGAAAATGTTAGTACCAACTCTAGTAACTAGATGGCGCTAGGTGTATTCTGAATCACGCTATCATTTGTGCGAGTAAAAATGTACATATCCTAAGAAGGCCTCTGTTCTAGTTAACTTTGCGCAGAGGCAATATCGTAACCAATGAGGTTAATCCGAGGTGCGATTATTGCTAGTTGAAAACTTTACCAATACCCCGCCTTGTGGTCGTGAAACACCGACCGCTATGGCAATTTTTGAAAGGCTGTGATGGCCAAATAAAGCACTCAGAAAATTTATATAAAAACCACTTAAGGTTTATAATTAAATAAGAGATAAAAACACTTTACTTTCTTTGTTATGGAACAGTGATATTAGTGTGTGAAAATAAAATAATTTCTATTAAGTTGTTTATTAGGAAATTAATTCCATGTCCTTGTTATTTCTTAGTTATCTAGGCAAGATACTATCATTTGATACGTTCTGTTTTCCATCAACATAGTCAATTCACTTCTCGAATAATATATATTTTTTACATCAATTATATTTCAAGTATCTTCGAAGTTTGATAGGTTCATTATTTCAATATAGGTCCTATAAACTTTTATGAACCAAATCGGTCATGAAATCTGATTTTCGCGAGTTTTGATCAATGTAATGAAACTAATATTATTCGGATTATACTACGCGACATTACGCGTGATCAAAGTAGCCGAAACGCCGGGAGTATGTAGTTTTTTACAAAATTAAAGTCGCGTAGCACATATAATCTGAAAAATATTAGTTTCATTTGAACCATATTCGTCCCCGAACTTAATGTGGACCTCAAAGTTTTATTCCCAAAACTTTTTCTTGATCGAAATTCATCTATTAGAAAACCAAAATTCATTGATACTTTTAAATTAAAAGTCATAATAAATGTATTTAAGAACCCATACTATATCAAAAGCCCGTAAAAGTATCTGCTGTAGGACTAATTCTTCCTTGAACAAACAATGATTTTTCTTCCAATTCAATATTAAGTCATCTATACTAATATTATAAAGCTGAAGAGTTTGTTTGTTTGTTTGTTTGTTTGAAAGCGCTAATCTCTGAAACTACTGGTTCGAATTGAATAATTCTTTTTGTGTTAGATAGTCCAGTTATCGAGGAAGGCTGTGGGCTATATAACATCACGCTACGACCAATAGGAGCAAAGATATAGTGGTAAATGTGTAAGAAACGGGAGAAATTATAACTAATTTTATTCCAGGTGGACAGCATCTGTGGTTCGTCATGTTCTCGCTACGTGCGTGATATAAGCGAGACTGTGTGTGAGGAGGTCGCGAGACTTTGGTCTGGCGCTAGACCGGTCGGCCGCGCTGCGATCTTCAGAGCTAGACTCGAGACTACACTGCTTAGACTAGCCTGCAGAGACCATCTCACTAGGAAGGCTGAGTGAGTGTTTGTTGTCATACCAAATGACTTATCTTTTAGCTGTTCTAAATTTAAATATCAACTGATGTGGTTTTATTGTTTTTTTTTCTTTTTTTTGGAAATGTTTTATGGCTGTGGATAGTAATTTGGAGCCTTAGTTTTATTGTTTTTTCTGTTTATTGCTATAACAAAATAAACTATATTATCTTTAGCTCTTCTAAATTTAAATATCAACCGATGCGGTTTTGCTGTTTTGTCAGATTATTAACTTTCTAACTTTTAGAATTGTTATTAATTTAAATATCAGCCACTACATTTTTATGTTTTACGATTTTCCAGGACCTACCTTGCTGAGACTTTGGCAAGCATTCCAACACTGGAGACCGAGGAAGAGAAAAAGTATGTTATACAATTTATTACGTATATTTATTGAACTATATAAGTTATTATTGACTCCACAAAGAATAATTTTAAAGATTTAATGTGGGTAATACTTGATTATTAACAAAAATTACATTTTATGTACAAACTTATATACTTTTCTTACATGTTTATAATTTTATAATCCTTCTAATTTCATCATTTATAATAATTGATATTATATTTTCAGACGAATGGAAAAAATAATTGCTGATTTCAAGAAACGAATGGAGTTACAACTGGCCAGTCTGAATTGTAATGTTGAGTCTATTTAAACTACACACCTATAATATAATTAATCACTCAAAATGTAACTTCATCAAAATAATTATTTATTATCAGTTATATATTATAATAAGTTAAAAATTATATTATTTATAAATATAATAAAAAATCATTTAGTATCCGTGTTTTTCATTCTGTTGTAATTCTGAAAATAAAATGGGTTTATTTTGTTAGAAATGGAAGTATTATATGTGATGATAGTTTATAACCGACTTCAAAATAATTAGTATTGATGAATAACTTTGAATTCACTAATAAATACTGCGATATGGATGGTTTGATGTAAAATTAAGGATGGTTCAGCATTAAAAAGTATGTAAGACTTTTTCCTTAGAATTAATTACAAAATATTAATTAGACTTATCTACTACTTTGTTTTCTTAACGATGACACAATTTATTGTGTCAATACAAATGAAAAATATATCTCATATATACTTTTTAGAGATTATATATCTATATGCTCATACATAACCTACTATTTTGAAGTCGGTTGATAATTTATATTAAAACAATCAGTCTAATTACTTCGCTCGCCATCTTGTGTAACATCTGCGTCATTGCGGGTCCGGTTTCAGCGACCATTTTTCTGAAGTATCCTTTCTTGTTCTGTAGTAGAATGTAAGGGCGGTCGAACTCCATCAAATGACCCGCGTCCAGTACTAAGATCTGTTTAAAAAGAAGATTAGAAGGAGAGAGAGAGATATGTATAATTTTGAATACAGTAATAGTAATAGAACCCATTAAAAAAATTGGCAATAAGCAGTAAAAGGTCCGATTGTACTTTAAAGTGCGTAAAAAGGATAATAGAAACAGAAATTAGACATTTTTAAACTATACGTGTGTAAGTGCCCTTATTTCTATGTCCGTATTAAACCAAACGAAAAAACAATTATTATTTGGATGTTACGGATATTAAAATTCCGATAAACATTTAAAAAAATGACCGCTTTCGTTTCAGCTTAGGTCTATCACAAAATTTAAATTTTGAAAATTAGTCTTCTTATAAATTTCCATCGCAACAATCATCCCTACTTAATATTATAAATGGGAAAGTAACTTTGTCTGCTTGTCTGTTACGCTTTCACGCCTAAAAAACTGAACTGATTTTAAAGAAATTTGGTACAGAGATAGAGTTGACCATGAGAAAAAACATATGATAGTTGTTATTCCAGACTTTTGAAAAGTTCTCTTGGAAACGCGATATAACCGAATTCCACGCGAGCGGAAAGCTAGTACTTAATAATTTTTAAGTTAATCATAATATTATTAGACCAAAACTTCCAAAATTATATCAATTTAAGTATAAGTTTAACGCAACCTTATTGGAAGTTATGTTAGAAGTTTCACTTCAGAAATATGTTTTCTATATCATATATATCACCTTATCCGAGTCTATAACAGTATTCAATCGATGAGCCACAGTGAGTACAGTGCAGGCACTGAAATGTTCCCTAATTGTTGTTTGTATGAGCGCGTCGGTCTGCGCGTCAACATTAGCGGTCGCTTCGTCCAACAACAGTATTTTGTCGTTGTTGATGATAGCCCTCGCGAGACAGACCAGTTGTCGCTCTCCCACACTGAAGTTTGAACCAGAATCTGATACTTGCTTGTACAGACTGTCTGTGTATTGAAAACATTCATTAGTATTCACAATTCTCCGCCTTGGAGATTATAATCGATACCAAATAAAGAAATATGCTTAAATTTATCGTTTTTTTTACCGTTTTTGTAGAATATATGTTTATTAGTTACCCAATCTATTTTCTTCGGTAGTAAGTTTAACTTTGTCTAAAGCTTCGAGTAGCATTTCGTCGGGGAACTCGTCGAACGGGTCTAAGTTTTTTCTTAATGAACCACTGAATAGTACGGGTTCCTGTATACAAATAATATTCAGATTTTCTATATCATTAATCTAACAATAATTATGGCGAGTATGTAAAGTAGTTATTTTATTTGTATGAAGTAAAACTGACGTACGTAGAACAAGACAGACATAACTTAAAAAATATATGTTTTTTTGTTATACATACAGTCTTTAAAGACATTAACTCTGTTTCCTTCAGATGTTTTTTAAATTTCTCATTTTAGGGGTTATCGTCGGAAACAATGACATGATTAGAATAGCCCTTTTTTTCACTATACCTTACGGTGCGCAAAGTTCACTATTAATTTATCCTGAATGTACCATTTTAATCACATACACTTTAATAAAACAAATTGTCATTTCTAATACGATAATGTCAAACTATAATTTTAGTTATTATTTTATTTAAAATGAAATATGAAAATTATATCATTATATTTTTATTACTTGTGGTATAATAGAAATCTTCTGTCTCAAATACATGAGACCAATGGACGCTATATCCAACCCATCGATGGTGATAGTCCCTTCTAGATACGCCAGTCTAAACAACGCCTGAATTATTGAAGACTTCCCAGCTCCCGTCCTTCCAACAATTCCTATCTAAAAGTCACTTGGTTACTTTTCAAACTAATTATTTACTGATTGAAAATTATATAGCTATAGTACTTTTTCTCGAGGAAAAATCTTGAATTGCAATCTATGGAGGACCGTATTGCCTTCTGGAGTATATCTCAGGCTGAGATTGTCGAAATGAATCTCACCGTCTGTTGGCCAACCGCTTGGAGGTTTCACATTTGGTTCCTAGTTACAAACACTCTTTACAGATATTGGAAAGATTTATAAACTAGCTATTTAAGTGGTTATTTGTAAACCTGACCGTAGATTCCAACGGTAGTTTCGTGTATTCCAATACTCTCTCAACGCTAGTCATTTGATTCTCCATCTCGGCAGATTGTCGCATACCCCATTGGAATATTCCAGTCAGTGAAATAGATTGTGTTATTATGAGACCTACGTTACTGCCGTCGATATCTAAGTGTATGACAAACAAAAAGTTTATGAGACAATAGTATTGATTTCATGCAGAATGGTGTGTGCAGGTCTAGAGATACTCAATCTAAGGTGAAACTAAAATAGTTGGACGGAAATACACCGTTGTCCCCTACAAGCCTGAATGTCAAGGGTATGTCCTATACAATTTTTATAGGACATACCCTTGAAATACATGTATAATACAAATAGGGATGTATAATACAAACGACCCACTGCCCACTTGTACAGAAATTATGTTAGAGCCATAAGGTTTTTAAGTTATAGCAACAGACAATGTCTTTCCATTTACAGTAGAAGAAAACTATCGTTTAAATAGAAAATCCAAAAGAACTTCCTATTTCTGAGCAAGAATAAAAAACACTAACCGGTTTTCATCAAACAGCTAAATGTCACACAGACTATAAACAAAAGGCAGACGACATCCAGCCAGTATCCGAAGGCTCTGCTGCAAGTTATGAACAGGTACCAGGCGGCGCTGTGTAAATCTTGATGACGATCGAATTCCCCCGCAAGAAGAGCGCCCGCACCAAACGAACGTATTGTTGGTATACCTTGGACTGTGGCATTCACGTGGCTAAATACCGGACTGCGAGCTGGAATATTGTTAAAGGAAAACTATCTTAAACATGCACTAAAACAGACTATGTACTTAATAATTCCATAATATTTAAATTATGTATAAATTCATTATAATCGAATGCCTGTTGTATTATGTAAGTTGATGTGAGTATTTAAGTGAGATGAATGAACTATTAAAACTTTTTCAAACTATATTAACGAAATATTTCAGTCACAATTATAAACCTTAATAATACGGAAAAACAACAAAGCCTTTTTTCAAGCAGAATCATTCAATGATAAAATATGTATTTTACTTTTTTAATGTAACGGCAAAAGTAATATGTAAATTCTACTTTTTAAATAGAAGCGAATTATATTTAAAAATATAATATTTCTGTTGTCTCTAATGTTTTAAATTTTAATGTGATTCCGCAATGTTTTTGAATAATATACTTAATATAACAGTAATAATATATTTTAAGTAAACCTCCTAAAATTTTTGTCCATCGCATCCCTTAAGTCGGACTAGAAATCTGACTACTTCAAAACTTAAATACTCAATCAATTTAATAGTTCTTGTGATATTGACATGTTATTAAAAATTCAAGATACTAACTTATCCCTTCCAAGCGTTTAATCGCACCAGTAGTACGAATGTAGATCAATCGAAATATGTAAAATATGATAAGACAGGTAGCGATAGGTATAAGGAGAGCCATTTCCGTCATCAATATTACCACAATAACGCCGAGCAAGTTCAACATTATCTGAAATGAGTTCCAATAATGTGAACATGTCATTAAAGTTTACAATGTCATCAATAACTAGTTTATTCAATATCATATGTAATTTTTTCGTTAAATTATTATGACAGCTAAATCATTCTTAAAGACTAAAAAACTTAGGCCTTTCTGGACAGGAACTTATTTATGAGGCAAGTCTAGTTTGCTCGTTTCAAATTTGATTAAGTAGAGAGAGGAGTTTGGATAGTTGAGGTTAGATAGGGGCTTCTTAAACCTACACCTGGGTCGCAAGTCCCAGGCACTGTCGAAGCTCCTCTCCCTGCAACGATGGATCCGGTATCCGCACTGTGAATCCATTGAATGCTAAGAAATTTCGACTCAAATTATTAAATTACCTGAAAACAATCAAGCATGGCCTGCGGAAGTAACTCATCGACGGACCCCATGTCCTTACTGAAGCGATTTAAAATCCTCCCTGACGGATTGAGATGGAAGAAACTCATCGGCGACAAGGATATGCATTCAAACATGAGATCATGTAATCTAATTGAATAAGAATAGTTTACAATATACGAACAATATGTACTTAAGATATATTAAATAGGTTTGTTAAAACTAACTTAATAGATGATTTCATGCACAACGAAAAGAACAGGAATGCCCTGATCAATGCGACAGCAACTGTAGCTACTGTCAAAATACCGAATATAAGAGCAAAATCCTTTCGCCGCAAGCCATGCTGAGACCACAGCAGATTGTCCATAGTTTGATCACCCGTTAAATGATCTTCAGCGTGACTCCTATTAATCGTTAAAAAATATAATAGTTTTAATTTGAAAAGTCATATAAATCAATTCTTAGAACAAGAAAAAATATTTCGTATCATGGATAATATGCTAATTAAACGTCGTATAACGTTCTGAGAGTTTCAATTTGTTACAATTTGTTCTTACCATCGACTAATCCAATAATCACTAGCGCTAGCGAAAAACTGCGCTAATAAAAACATCAAAATAACTGATGAAACAAATGGACATGCGGCGTCAGCAAGAAAATACTCCTTGTAAACTGAACCCTTCACTCTACCGACTGTCTGCGCCTCTGCTTCTTGTTTTTGATCCTGTAAATTGTTTTTAAAAGGCTTCAACTGGTTATGCATGAAGAAAACGCAGTATAAACTGTATCTCTCGCTAGTCTTTAGTAAAAATAAATTTAACGCATAAATTTCCTAACAAAACACTAATTAAACTCATTATACTGACAGTGAAATTGGATATAATTGACCAATGCGACCAATGAGATCGTTTTAAACTTATCGAACTGGGGTGTTGCAATGATTTTTGTGTGGAAGTCATTGAGTCTTCTTGACGGATTTCATGCGATTTATCTTTCATCAGTTGCATAATGGGTAAGTCTTGCATCTGTCAAAAAAAAGCAATTAATTTACAATTTAAACACAGTTTAGAATCAATTTAAATATAAGTTTAATAATTACACTCAATTCTTCATAAGTTCCCTCAGCCGCGACTCTTCCTCTATCTAATATTACAATTTGATCTACCGCTTTGATAAATTGAAGCTGATGGGTCACGAGAACAACAGTCTTGTTCCCCAGATATCTTTTAAAATAGAAAAATATATATTGACAAGAGTACAAAGAGATTTTTAACCACAACTTCTTATATTGTTCATCAAAATCTGAATAAAAAATTGGATTACTAATAATATTCAGGTTAAAATAAATTACCTTTTAATACAGTTCTCAAATATATGTCTCGCCACTTGTGTATCTACAGCTGATAATGGATCATCTAACAAATAAATGTCAGCCTTGAACAATAAAAATATGTAAAGCTATGAAGACCTTCGATTTCATAAAGAAATACAAAAGCATCAAACCATTTTGTTTAATATAGAAAAGTAAAAAAAATTAAACAATTTCAATATAATCTATTCTAATATTTTCTCATAACTTTCAGTATATTATTATACGTATATTATAATCAAAATAAAATCAGTTATTACTTCTTTATAAACTGCCCTTGCTAAATTTATTCTTGCGCGTTGGCCTCCGCTGAGAGACACTCCTCGCTCACCGACGATCGTTTTGTCCCCATGAGGAAACAGTGAAATGTCCCTTTCAAGGGCGCAAACCTTACACACTTCCATGTATCGGGACTTGATGAACGGTTGTCCGAATAGAATATTTTGACGAACTGATCCTAAATAAAAAATATATTTCTTTTGTACAAATACAAGAGGATTTGGTCTAGAATTTTATTTCTTAAACTCAATCACGTACGTATTTAGATGTTATTTTTGATATAATCGAATAAGTACATACATGTTTTGTCCATTAAAAACATTATTTATTGGACAAAATATGTACTATAGAACATGGATTATAGGGGAATTAGTTAGGGTAAAACCAATTTTACCAATAAAGAGCCAAGGATCCTGGCTAGCATAACTAACGCTTCCAGTAATATCCATACTTCCTGTAGAACAAGGTAATTCACACAGCATCATCAACAATAATGTTGATTTTCCTGAACCTACTGACCCTACTATTGTAGTAAGAGATTCTTCATATATCTGTAAACATGAGTGATATCTTTAGTCTGTACATAAAATTTTATATAAGTACTTATATGATGTTATTTTAATGTAACCTACTTCAAATGATATATCTTCAACATCATCCTTTTCCGAGGTTTTAAGCCAACGGCTGCAGGCTTTGTCAAATTTAACGACAACTTTATCTTTATGAATTTCACCTCCTACAAATGTTTATTAACTATACCAATTCTTGTATACCTATAAGAAATGAACAATATGTGCAATAGTAGTTGTGGCTAAGTTTACTAACCTTTTGGAGTATCCGGATCCTTCGTTTCCGATGTACTTGGTTCGATTCTTGGTGAATGTTTTACAGGGGAACTTATGGGTTTAACTACAAGGTACTTTCAATATACATTTCCGAAGAAAATTTAATTACATTAATTTAAACCCAAATACAGTTTTCCCACTTACGCGATATCCTCACGTGCTTTTTCGGTTTTTGTTGAAACTGATTGGTAAAACCAATATGTTCCCTGGGAGGCAGTTGACATTCTTCAGACAGTAAGAAGTCATTTATCCTCTGTATAGCCACATTCATTTCTGCGATCTTAGAAAATACATACATATTTTGGATGTTACACAGTTAATGTTGCATTAGAAATCTGTTTAAAAGACATCTATTTAGCCTAATTATATGTTTATTTCGAACCATAATATGTTACTCACTTGTCCGACAGCCTGAGGAAAGAAGAGTGTCATAGTTTGTTTCAAAATGTTGTAATAGCAAGTCAGGAAGAACACGTTCTCAACAGTGATCCGTTTGACTGAGAGGACGTACAGCAGCACCGTGATGAAGATGCTAAACCGAGCAGTGAACATAATGAAAGACATGATCACTCCACGGATGTAGGAAGTCATCTTAATGAAATAAACTTCTTGTCTGTGTAAATACAAAAGTATTTTTTAAGAATATAACAAGTTTTTTATATTTTTTTTACCAAATGGTTCATTTCTTTTTACCTCCTCACAGTATCAATAATTTTTCGGAACGGTGTCTCCCATGTATACATTTTTATGACCTCAACACCCATAATAATTTCTTCCATAAGTCTAACCCTTTCATCCGACTTCAAAGCTGTTTTTCTCCTATAATAAGAGGTTCTGGTGCCCAAAAATACTGTATATCAGAAGAGTTTTAATACGTATATTTTTATAAGTATTTCCATATAAGATTATTTGCTAAACATACTTTGAAATGGAACAACAGCTACAACCATTAACGCGCCGTAAACCGCAGAGACTCCCATTTCTCGGTATAAGTAAAAAGTTATCAGCTACAACATTTAAAAATGTAATTAATGTATTTATTAACTAACTATAATAATAATTATGTACACCACTCACTAAAGTTTCAATAGGACCTATCCAGAGATAGTGAATAAATAAAGGTCCCGAATCAAACCTATTGACATCGTTTGCTAAGAGATTTACCACCAGCCCACCTCTGTTCTCAGACATAGCTTGCAGATTTACTTTTAAAGCCTAAATATGAACACATATTATTTAGGTTCACATATTGATTATAATTTTATTTAGAGATCCTACCTTCCTGTAAATAAGACTACATATTCCTACACGCATTTTCATCCCTATATGCATGACACCCATCATGAACGGATGCTGAACGATAATGTTTATCAAACTCGCAAATATAACTCCGAATGAGAAAAACACAGCCTCTCCGTATGAAATTCCGGTTGTAATATCGTAATATTTGAAAAGTCGAAGGAAATACGTTGCATTTGATCTGAAAGACAACATATTGTATGAAGTTCTCTTTTCACAAAAAATGTGATGTCACTTTATTCGCACTCACGTGACATTGGACGTTTCTTCAATAGGGCTGTAGTAACGTAGTAGTAAACCTAGAAAGAGTGGCTGCTGCAACCTAGATCAAAAGAACCGCTTATTTGGAATATTTGTTAGAGGGTAATGCTAACTTTTATTCACTTATTCATAGAACAAATTTATTAAACCTTATTAAAAATTCCATAGCTGCCAAAATAAGGCCATACAACATGAGTTCTGAACCAAATACTTTCGTTAATGCCTTCCTTAAACTTGGTCTCTCATTGTTACGAGACCGAGATTTCTCTACCTCTACTTCCCAAGCATTTTGTATAGCATCTCCTGTTTAACTCAGAAAATGTTTTCTTTACTCAAATTAATAAATTAAGTATATAGCATTTACTTTAATTCAAATATTTACAAAGGAAACAAAAGTGAATATAATTGAGTCAACCTAATAAATCGGAACGATGTTCTGGTAAGGGGGCGTACAGATCGTTTTCCAGAATATCTCGGCTGTAACCAAGCATAAATGTCTCGAAGGTCCATCTGAAAATATATTTTTGGGCTTATTACAAATTAACACAAAATTTGTATACTATTACAAATTAACACAAAATTTGTGTACTTTGAAAATAACGTAATTAAGATGAAAACATTCAAGGTAAGCTATAAAATAATAAAAAAAAGTAATATGTTTGTAAAGTGAGGAAAAATTACTTTAATTAAATATATTTTTGAAACTTCAAGCATTTCAAATAATACGAGACGCTGAGAAGTAAATAGTTCGCAATAAAAGTTTAAGAAATAAGACATCCATTACAAACAATCAACATTAAATCTTCTCACCCAAAGGTTAGTATTGAAAAGAGGTTCGCTTTATATCTGGGATTTATCTTTCTTTTCTGTTTCGGACCTGTATCCATTTTTATAAATATAAGTCGTTTTAGACGCTTGAAGTTGTTTATAAAAATTTAACATAAATATCATATCATCACATTGGTCGTGCATTATGAGTTAAGTATATTTTTTTTTACAAATACATTTTAATCAAAAAAATCCCTAAAACATTAACATAATATTTTATTTATTCCTAATTATAATATCTGTAAATAAATTAAGTTATATATAAAATTTATACTTTATACTTATAATTGAAACGTCTTTATTTATTCATATTTTAAATTAACAAGATAAAACACATATTGCAGGTGTTAAAAATTATTGAATACGACAATCGTGGACATGTCGCAATCCCTCGTCACTCGAGCCTATATAAGGGCGTTAACGAATTTAAAGCGTCAAAGAAAAAAATGCGGAAACTATTTACACTATCATTTATTGTTGCAGTATGTAGTGGGGTGAGTGAATGAATTAAATAAGATAGTCCTTGTATATATTACTAATAATGTTAGTAAAATAAATGTATTTGAATTTTATAAGCATTATATTTTTTCGTAGGTTTCCCACGGACATCCGTTTCATAAACGGTCTCACAGCATGCAGCCACCTCGTCCGAGAGACTCGTGTAGTTTTACGTGCGATGATCTAACTTCTTTTATAACACTAGCAAAGATTCTCGAAGACAAAGAACCAGAAAAAGAGGTACCCGCGGTGCAGACCGTTTTTAACGCTGAAGAAATTATTATGAAACTGGTCAACGCATTAATATACGCTACTACACATAGGATTCAGAACCATTGTCAGTGTCCTCATTCGGTTACGCCCTCTCTACCCTCTGATAAATCTCATCGTAGTGGTGAAGGAGCTACTTATCCGAGCAATGGTGATAATGACCATTTAAACGAAGGTCTAGTTAACCTTGATTTGCTTAACTCTAAGAGAAAAAATAATGTCTTGGATCTGGACCTTTCGAATCAACATGTTCTTGGAATCGGGTTAGGGACAAAAAATGAAAATGATAATTCCTATTACACTACACACCGAAATGCCAAAGGAAATGAGCTAAATTCATCTGGTCGATCTACTGCAACATCTTCGGGCGATTTACTAAATGTCTCACTACTTGATTCTAAACAACCAAGTAATGTTGCTGCTGTCAGTATTGGAAGGCAAAATGTTGTTGGAGTTGGTTTGGGTGATACAGGAGAAACCAACGGTAATGGAAAGCAAGTTGGCATACAAATGAGTAATGATCGTAATGAAGATTTAGTGAATCTTCAAGTTCTTAATCCTAATGAAGATGGCAATGTCGCGAACTTGGCCGTAAGGCGTCAAAATGTTCTGGGTATTGGAGTCGGTAATTAAAGCTTCATTCATGATGCTTTAAAAAAAGAGTAATAATTTACATCTTTCAATAAAAGATTCTAAAAAAATATTTAATTTTATTTACAATTCCTGAGTGAAAGAATAACTCTTTAAGTATAATAAATGACCTGAGGCGCTGGAATCCACACAAAAAATTTTGACATATGTCAAAACAATATTCGAAAGTTGACAACTACCGTTCGTTTATAAATTGTTTTGTTGTTTGAATTTTACTGTTAGACCTAATTAAAGTTTTATTTAAAGTTAAAGTTAAGTTCTATAAATATATAAAGTATGGAATTCGATAATTGACTGTATTTCTTGTGTATACGTCACTATGACTTCTGAAATAGATGCTATAGGAACAAACGAATTTTTACGTCGTCGAAAACTAAGACTTCAACAGGTTTGAGGTTTTATATTCGTGCTTTAAAAAATAAACTAAATTCAAAATATTTGAATACTAACTTCATCGTGACACACTTCAGGTTAGAGAACAATCGAAAGACATAGCTAAGAAAATCAGACAACGCGCTAGTGAAGAAAAGTTGCGGCATGCGGTAGATAGTAAATCGAAGAAAGAAAAAGAATATTTTGAGTGTCAAGAGAAATTAGTGAAGCGTTTAGAACTATTATATGCGAAAGGATTAAAGAATGTTGGAACTGGTCATAAAAATGCTCTAGAAGTTACAAGTCAAGGTACATATTATTTAAACAATGGTTAAATTTCGTATTATAAGAGGAAACAATACAGTTTTTATATTTTGTGTGTTTTATCTAATTGATATATAGTCAGAATTTAAAACTTATATTTGATGTAATCCACAGAAGCAGTAGAGAAAGTAGATCTATCAAAAAACAGAGGCAGGGAAGCAGTTGCTGAATTAAGGAGAAAGAAACAAGAAAAGTTAGATGAACAAAAGAAAATATTGGATAGAAAACTACAAGCACGGTTTGTATACTCGTCTAAGTTTAAAAATAAGTTACAAAATTTTTAAACTAATAAATAATCTTACTATTTACAGAGAGGTAGCAAATGAAATTAGTCGGGAAAAGTCTACTAGTGTGAAGAATTCATTAGCAAAAAATACAAAAAAGTCTGACTCTGAGCAAGAAAAAGCAGTAAATGACATTGAAAAAAGCAATCAACCTGAAACAATTCCAGTTAAGGACAATGCTGAAAATTCGGAGGCAGTAAAAAATGATATGGGAACACAATGGCAGAGTGAAGACCTTCCAAATGAGTGGGAAACTGTGCCAGCCCTGTCTTTGCCAAAGGAAGACAGTGTAAAAGACTTGATTGATAAAACAAATAAGAGCAAACGACCTAATTTATTTGCATTAAGCGATGAAATGCCCTCCAGTCTAAGAGGCGGCCTCTCAAGCGTGACTGAAGAACCGGCTCCTTTAAAACCGTCACTGACTTTGATAACAGATTATTTGCAAAATAGGAACTTGCGTTTACGACAACCTGAACCGAGTTGTAGTAGGAAGTCAAATGAGGATTTACAAAGTATTAGGCAAACAATTCTTCGAACAAGGGCTTCCAGAACAAACGGTAGTGTATTGGATAGTGTTTGTCGTGTTCTCGATGACCAAGTAATTCCGGTACCATCCTGGCAAGCCGGCGATAATATTAATTTAAATGTTCCTAAACATAATCACCATTGCCCTAAGTCTTCAAGAATATGTACTAATGTCCCGACTACCCCGAGAACGCTGCATCGTCAGATACATTTATGTCCCCAGTTTAGGAACTTAGGTTTGTCCAAAAAGATCAAAGGTCATGCAAATTGTGGACAGGCAGGTGACTTGAAAAATGCGAAAAATTATCATTCGGGTGAAATTTGTTGAACAATTATATTAGAGAATTGTATCACTTAGATTTGTAAATTTATTTGATATAGTGTCATTATTATTATTGTCTTTTTAGTACTTTTCACATAGGAAATATAATCCATATAAAATTATCAATAGCCAGTTTTGCCATTATAGCTTTGATTTCTTTATTTACACTTGTCAAATTTTATTTAGTCACTCTTAACAGCATGTTTTGCTAATATTTATAATCATTTTTTATTTCCAGTTGCTAAAGACAAATCTGCAAGATCAACCAAACCTGATTTATCGATTGGCCATAAAAAATCTGTATCAGTATACAATCATAACACAAGAGACATTCAAAATGTACCTTGCAATGATGATGAATTGGTTGTTAGAGATAGTAGGACCGCTGACGATGCCTACACTCAGGCTTATAAAGAAACTTCCATAGTACACAATATAGAAAACAATGAACTTAATAAAAAACATCAAGACATGAGGAACAAAGTTGCTATAACAAGACAAAATGTTGATAAAGAGTATAGAGATACATTAGCATTTTTGAATTCATTACCAAAAGATATGAGTTCTAGACCAATTGTATGTTATTACTGTTTTATTAATATATATAATTGACGATAATATATTTAATTAATGTATTTAATTACAGAGAACAGCTTATATGGATGACGAACAACAGCTATCCCAAAATAACAGACATCAAAGAAAAATTCAAGATGAGTTCAAGAAAATTGAGAAGGAATGCTATAAACACAGCTGTAAGGTAAAATATATATAATAAGGTATAATTAATATATATGTTCATTATATAATTATATTTAAATTTCTTCTAGCATTCAAAGAGAAAACCAAACACTTCCGAATGTAGAAGTAAATCTAAATCACCTATCACCAGAAGAAAAGATTTTGAATACTCTTGGATGCCGGTACCAGAAAGTGATAGAAGTCTTGCCATCCACAACATACCGAATAAAAACAAATCTGGCAACACTGTGAAGTTTGGTCAAGACAGCTATCATGAATATAGATCAAGACACAAACATACACCACCCACTAAAGACACAGATAAAAGAATGATAGAAACTGTTATAGTACAAAATAGTTTATCAAACGAGTCATCTATTACCTCTGAAAGCAGTTCCGTAGAAGATGTGAGCCTCGAGAGAAGCAAGGAAGGGACAAAATTGAAAGATGCAGAAAAAATTATCATATACAAAATATTAAAGTCGAAAAAGGATAAGAAATGCAAACATAAAAAGACAGAACCTAAATTGCAATCAGATTGCGATGTAAATGTTACCGTTGGACAGAAAGTTGATGGAAAATTAGCATCGCAAAATGTTGGTACTTCAGCCAATAGTATTCAAAGAGGTGTGTCGTTTGAAGAACTTCATGAAGGCAAGTTTATAATTTATAGTACACCTTATAATATAATCTATAATCATTTTTATATAATACAACATTATATTTAATTTCAGGGGTGTACAAAGCTACTAAAAATAATGGGTAAGTGAATTGTTTTATCCATTAGAGATATAAAATGTATTTCTTCTTATATACTTTGTGACATTCGCGATATCTTTGCTCAGGCAGTCCTATCAAGTATCAAGCTGTTACACGGCTAATTTAGAAATGTGGCAGACTTCGACAAAACGAAGGCCTTGGTGGTAATAGGTTTTGATTGCAAAAATACCTTTTTTATTTGGTAGGGTAGTCGTATTCATAATACCCGCATAACTCGTAAAACCAGATAAAATGAGTTTCACCAAAAATAATTATGTAGATAGTGTTACGTTGATAGCCTAATTTATTGATTCAAATAAAATATTCTTATTGGAATTTTTGTTGAACAGTATTAAAATTGACTTAGTCTTAAGAATATTTTAAATTTAGAATTATTGACTATTTATTCATATACTCGTGTATATTGTACGTATAAAAAAATGATATTTGTTTAAAATATAGTTGTGTATATTTTTGTTTTGTGATATCATGTACCATAGCATTTTAACTTGCCATCATTATTTTAATTCCAAGTTGTAAGATTTTAAAAGTATGAATTGAGGTTCACTATTTTTTTCATTATTGTATGTAATATAATATTCTGGAAAAATATAAAACTGAATTAAAATGTAGATTTAATTTATTTTTTTTATAATTACAGGGACAACGTAACATCCCTTTACTACACAGAGGAACAGCAAGATGCTGACAACGCCAGTAAAAGTCTGCAGAAAGACAAAACCGATCAGTCGTGTTGTGCTAAAAATTCAAATGGAACGCATCTAGATAAAGGTACTCATTCATTCTTATTACTTATTTTACATTCAATACAAATTATACAATAATAAATATTGTTTATTGCAGATCTACAGCAAGAGGAAGAAGCCATTCAAGATCGGTACGTGTTTTCTTAAAATAATGTCAATTATATACTTAATTTATATTAATAATTGATTAATGTACGTTACAGGTCAGAAAAAAGACGCGTCTGTAAATGTGATAGTAAAATAAGCGGTGATAGTGGACCGGTTCAGCCTTCAGCCGCCACATCGACCTCATCATTCAAAACAGCTACCAATGATAAAGGAAATAGCGCCGAAACGGGATTCATAAAATTTCTCGACGAAGGCGGTCAAGAAACTGGCAAATTCTACATCGGTGCCTCCGGTTTCATCAAAGACGACGACTACGAAGTAGTTATACAACTGAGAAAGAAAGATGGAGAGAGAATTAAAAATAAACCCCTAGTTAACGAAGAACATACTCAATTAGATAAAGTGTCGAAAAGCACTCTCACTGAACAAGAAAAAGCTCCTTTGCAACAGAAATGCGATGAAGAATTATTAATCACTGAATGTAATCTCGAACCGAAAGAAAGTCAAGAAGGCAACGAAATAAAAGAAGCGGAAAAATGCCCTATGGAAGTTGAAGATAATTCGCCGAAAATTATTCCAAGCACCTGTGAGAAGGCGGTGCTAACGAGTTTCCAAGATTCTTACGCTATACCCGATGAAGTGCCTAAAACAGATCCTGTGGTACGTGAAGCAACATCTACGTACACACAGACTTCATTCAATTCACCTGTTCAAAGGCCAATTTTCATGCACATGAGTTCATCGACCTCGACAGCGTATATGAGTCCGCCGGATTTGATTCTACCGAAATTCTTAAAAAAAGATTACGTGTTTACATACGATACATTCGACTCAGAAAACACTATACCAGCTGTACACAGACATAAGTCTAAAACACAACACGTTAAACAATATCACTGTAATAAAAAATGCGTTTGCAAGCGATGTGTATGTAAGGCAGCAATGAATTATGACTTGAGAAATGTTAATATAACGAAGACACCTCCTAACACAGCCAGGAGTTCATACAAATGCTTGTCTTCCCGCGAAAAAATACACAATGAATGCAAAAAGCCTAAATGTCGCAAGTGCATAAGCCGCAGTAGCGGTAGCAAACATTCGATATGTCATAAATCCAGTAGAAGAAGTGACCAGTCTCTTAGTAAAAAAACTCATAAAAATATAACAAGCAGTGACAATATATCTACACCACATACCCCAAACAGAATAAATATTAAGCCGAAGCCAAAAAATGCCAAAATTAACCCTGTCGTGAAGAAATATGTGAATGAACTTCTGTCTCTAAACAAACAAGGTCTCAAAGCTATTGAAATCATAAATGAAGATTGTAGTTCTGTGCCAACACCTGGCAGTTCCATTATAAACGACACTTGTAATGCAGGTAGAGACGGAAAACTAACTACTAAAATATCTCTCGAAGAAATCAAAAATATGTTACAGCAAAAGATACTTAAAGATTTGTCCAATTCCAATACAATTGGTGATACGAATAAACTCAAATGCATGGAGAGTCAGACTAGAAAATCATTTATTATACCCAAAAAGAAGTTGCATAAAGTAAAATCTCTAAACATCTCCAAGCGCTTTCAAAATAAAAGTAAAAATTTATCGAAAGATAATTTACAAAGAAGAAAGTCTGAATCTTCTTCCTCCTCCACGAGAGTTTTACCCGAAGATGTGGAAGTTGCGAAGAGTAGAAGCAAGAGTTCACCAACTCCACGACCTTCAAAAACTTCTGAGTATAATAATAATACTAGCTCAGACATAGGTGATACAATTGATTCAAGAATCCCTAAAGGATCGGCGCATAGCCTTAAAACTAAACAATCCCGAGGACGATCTTCAGTGAAAATGGCTCAGAGTTCACGATTTCCGCCAAACAATGACTTCGTCATGCCAATTCACAGAGCTGTTACTACGTCTATGTCTTCCGAGTCAGGCCTTAATAGCTTCCTCTTCAATAACATTGGTCGAACACAAGCACCAGCGACTACATGCACCCAAACAAGTGAAATTATCGATAGTGACGCTAATTTTATGCAAGTGGCAGAAAACAAGTTACAGAATATGGAAAAAATAGCAGACCTGACAGAAAAATGTACGAAACGCTTGTCCAATTTGGCGAGAGTTTTAGAAGAGGTGCGCAGAAATAAAACTTCCATATACAGCCAAATATCGACCTCAGACTCCGCATCCGAAACTGATAACAGAAGTGGCAAACATAAAACGGGTCCAGTAGCCGTGTGTCAATCTGATCCTAATATATTAATTCAAAATAAGACGAATCCGACCCCTTCTCCTTCAACGACACCAAAACCAGAGGATAAACCAGCGAGTGAAATCGATCACATACAATTTACACCTTTCTTAAAAGACATTCCGAGACCTGATGTTTTTAAATCGCCATCGAATACATCCTTATCGGTTTGTAGTGAAAAGTCAGTACTAGGTTCTCAGCCAGCGGTTCCCGTGGAACATATTACAATGAAATGTAGGGGTCGACCACCTCCAGCCCTAAACAGAGTCAACTTAAAGCATGCCCAAGACGCTTTGATAACGCCACATGAACTATCAACAGTTGTCGAAGTTGATTCACCAATGAGCTTAAAAACGAAAAACCAGTCATATCAGGACGCTCGCGTAGATGTTTCAAATATATCCAGTGGAACAGATAATATTGTAGCCCAAGACAATCTTCACGTTACAGCAGAAGTACGAGCGGTGAAGGAAAGCCCTTTAAATCCTGATTTACTACAAAATAACAAGACTTTATCTAAAAAACTATCAAAAATTTCATCCAACGATTCCTCTGACGATTCCAAGATGCGTATGATGGACATGAAACAGTTCAATGATATAATGCTAAAACCGTTTATAAGCCTGCAAGAATACGCTAAGCAGTGTAATATTGGTCTCGACGAAGGCTCCAACAATGAAGAGATATTTAAAGAGGATCCAGGAAACGACGAATTGAGCTCCTTACATTCAGATGGCAGTCTGCCCGATGTTATTGCAGAGTTATTAAAACGAAAGGTAATCGCTGAACCTTTTCAGTTCGACTCCGCTTCCAATATTAATTCGACCACACTATCCTCTGAATCGACGATTTCTATGCTTGCTTTATCCAAAGTGAGGAAAGGAAAAGATAAAAGTATGCTCATGAGAAATAAAGAGAACATTGCTGAAACTTCTGAAACTTTAAGTATATCATCCAATCCTGATTTAGAAAAGGCGTTTCAGAAACTCGGTATGGGTTGGGCTTCGTCGACTTTAAAGAAAACTAAAGAGAGATTGGCATTGTCGTCTTCTTCGAGTGCCTCAAGTTCCAGCTTGTCGCAGTTCAAGATAAAAAGTTTTAGTCAAAATGTCCCAACTCTAGGCACTGATTCCACTTCATCATTGGCCGATACCTCAAATAATAACGGCCATAGGAAATCACCAACTAGACCTACCGAAAACTCTAAAAACGCTGTACAGCAGACATCACTGACGAACTCTATGACTGTAAAAGAATTTCTAACAAACGAACTAGCAAAGAAGATTACATTCAAGAGCAAAACTAATAGAAAAGAAGCCGATGAGGAATTCGTGTCGTTATACGAAACGAAAATGCCGGAGGAATTGAAGAATACGCAAATCTCTAGGGACGATGAAGAATCTAGCGTGACGAGTGCTAATAACAACAGGGCGCGGACTTCAACTCCCGTGCAAATCTTCAAGTCCACTACATACCGCTCCTCATCCAGTTCAAACACCTCGAACGGCCTGTTCAGCAACGCTGATGATTTATCCTCCGTCAAAGGGACTTCGAACTCTGTTCGCAATCATTCCACGTCCGACAGGGACGACCTCACGATTCCCAACTGCAGCCTCAAGACGAAGAAGGAATTTAGCAGCAGCAAAAGCGACTAATGTTGTTCTAAATTATACGTTATTTATGCGCTATTTTATTTTCTTATTTGTATATCTTATAAAGGAATGTTACTTAAAATGGAATTGTTGTGATTTTTATATGATTTGTATATTATTTTAAATCAATATAGTTTAATAAAAATGTCAATAAATACTATTTTTCCGTTTATTTATTCAAACTTGTACTTTTTCTTGGTGTTTGTTTCATTATTAAAATTGAATCACTTGATCTTCGATTTTCATAAAATATTTTTGGACTCACAGGTGCCCAAGTGGTTAGTTCTGTTTTGAAATTGCTCACAAAAAATATATATATTTTTAGAGTTAAAATTGCCTTGCTTGAATAAGCTATAAATCATTTTTAATTAATATAAAAGTGCAGATAGATCATATTTCTGTCAATTTCATAAACATAAAACAAAATTTTCACACCTTTATCACATTTTGCATCTAATTCATTCATGGTTATTTTTTCCTTTTTATAAATTTACTTGGATCGAGATCAAAAATTATTCCTAAATAACATAAATTATCGCCTGCCAAATTCTAATTTGGCCTCTCCAAAAGTCCAATTAGTAAAAACTTTACCTACATATAATTTTCAATAATATTTATGAAATGTAAGGTAATGTTTTGAGTTCGTGTTTAAGGTTTGCTCAAGATGATTTAAATTACTCATAAGCTGCGAAATGAAATATGCTTAACCTGTATTTGATCCTCTACATAATAAATTTATAATCGATTTTTAGCAAAATCATATGATTTCAAAGAGGTATTTAATAAAAATGGATAATTTTAAAATCCTAAGTCTAAAGACTTTGTTACTTCAATCTTTTTTTTTTTTTTAAAAGAGTCCTTTAGTTATCTACAAAGTTTATTTATCTTAGGTAAACACATTGTGTTAGAAAACATTAATTCTTAACTATCCTCCCAATTCTTTATTATTGAGAGGTCAACTTAGACAGTACAGGATTTACACTCACTCAACTACCAAACTACTGGTCTACTGTATTTGAATGTTGATGAAGAAATTAAATAAATTAACACTCAGTTTTAACAGCAATTCTTTTATATGCAGATTGGATTAAAAATTATAGTTGGATATATAGCTCAATGATTTTTTAAACAAGCAATACTATTATTAAATTAAGACAAATTCATTTAAAATGTTTAGAGAGTATAAATTTTATTACAATCAACTTTGAGCTTTTGATAGGTATTGGTTCAATTTAACATATTTTTTTATGTACTCATTTTATTGGCATATGTAATCATATATAAGGTATTTAATAAAATACAATTTATCTAAAGCAATAATTTAATTAAAAATAATCATAACACCATATCACAAAAATGTTTAGGAAACAGAATTATAGAAATGTAAAGTTTGTTTTGTCAGAAACATAGTATATTAAATATACTTGTACATGTTCTCATTAAAATAGAATATTACAGCCAAAATAATACTAAATTCATATTAAAGAAAACAATATCTTAGTTATTTTGATATTTATAATACATTTGACAAACAAATTATAACTTAATAAAGTTAGCCTTACATTTATAATTAAATATTGTTTTGACTTAATTGAAAACAGTTATAATTTTCTATTGCTTTGTACAATCTGTTACTAAATCATATCAGTATTGTTCTGAGTCAAATAACTCAGCTTGTTTGATACAAAAGTTTTGCTATTATTATTCCACCAATAAGGTAACATAACAAAAGAGTATTTAATTAGTTTGAATGTATAATGGAATTCGATTTAAAATATCAAAAATATCAATATCCATAACTTGTTTTAGAGATTTCTGAACACATTGTGATTGAATCACGACAACACAGATTACAACTAAACATTGATTTACTATTTAATTAGCTAATTATGGGTTATTCCTTTTTATCATCTTTTACAAAGTATCGTGATAGCAAATTGTAACCCAAGCCTAGAGTCAGTGACGCTACCACTGTTCCTTGTGCTGCTACTCTCAGTTGCATAAGGAATACACTTGTGCTCATTTTTCCCTTGTTTCTGAATTGATAGACTCCATAGCCACACATGCCTATTAACCCAGCGATCCCTGAAAGAAATATTACCTACTTAATATATGGGAGTTTTATAACTATTAAATACATATGTAATATGAAGTAATGAGAGAAAATGTAGTTTTGGTTTAAATTAATATTACCTAGGATCATGAAGGGCGAGTCTTTGGACTTCCTGGCCAAGCGCTGAGCTTGAGATTCTTCATGGTAATCAAAAACTTTTTCAGAACTCATTGTGAGATTCAGGGTTACTGTACATAAAAATAATCCGGTTAAGAAGATATATAATAACAGTTTAATAAAATTTATTCTACAATTTAGAATATTATAAAAATGTTATATAAGTTTAAATTAAGAGAAATAAAACTATAAAGTATATATTAGGCACTTGAAAAAAATCTTAAATTTATAAAACTTATTCTCAGAAATGTCAATACTATTTATAATCAATATATTCAAAACTTACCTTAATATCTTCCAGGGAAAATTATTGTATTATATTATATAATAATTTTAAAATTTCCCAACATTGCGTCACTTTACTATAACCTTGTTCAAACCATTTTCAAGAATGAGATGACATTGACATTACACGGGTGCTTTTATTTTAGGCATTAGTTAGTGATGTAAAACGTTAAAACTGCATAATGCATATGCATATGCAAAAATACAAATACGAAATAACAATATTTATAATTATCGTAACTTTTTTGTTCAAGTGCCGTCGGTTCGTATTGGTATTGGTATTACCACTCTTTGAATCAGGACATATACTGTGAGTTTGTAATAAGTTTCATTTTAATTTAATAAACTTTTATTTCTATCTAATCAATTTTTTCTTAGGATTTCATCCATATTTTTAAGAACTGCTATGTTAACACTTACTAAAGATGAAATTGTTACTGTTATCCGGTACATAACATGCCAGCAGGCGCATCCGCTGCGTTATGCGCCTGTTCCAGATGCGGCCGGTCTTGCCGTTCCAGAATCGGTCTGCATAGCCACCAACGAAAGTGTCTATTATAATCACACACTCTCATAAATCAAATCATCTGTAATAGATGAAAAGGCCAATGATGATGATGATATTCGGTACATCACTAGTATTACATAATATACACAATTATTTTGATTTAACAATCTGTTCCTTTTCACGTATTAACTGATATTTTGCCTTCTGAAAAACATTCATATAAATTGTTATATTTTTTATTTAAAAGTTTATACTTTACTTGAAACTTTATAAGACTAACAAAGCCAAGTAGGTGAGGTCGTTACCTAAACTTATTGATAGATGATATTAAAATAAATTTTACACTAAACGGGTTTAAAAATTACATATATATATTTTATAATACAAATATATTAATATAAAACTTTAAATATAATTAATATCACTTAACAAAATATTATATAATAAAAAATATAAAAAGTACATACAAAACTGAAAACGTTATATAAATAGCCTAGGATCTCATTTCATTCGTACCCCTAATATTGTTATAAATAACTTAATTACTACTTAAATTCCTTATTTTCAAAAATTGTTCCACAAATTAAAAACTTGGTCCCTGCCTATCTAAAGAGTTGAAAACGATTTTATCCTAGGAGTAATATCTTCGAATTTCGGCTAGAATAACTTCGTAGCTGGCTTCATCTATTATAAGGAATCTTTTAGCTCTCCTGCTGAAATAGTATATATCACCAGTATAAATATCAAACCATAAAGCATGAATGTGTAAATCATGCTTTTCGAGCCGTTTTTTCAACATGCCATAAGAAGCAATATTCTGTAATTGTTGCAAAGTGTTAACCTGTAAAATAATAGCAATCAATTAATTTAAGAAACATAAAACTTTGTTTACACAAAAATAACAAACTACCTGAGATAATTTGTCTTCTATACAAAATTGATTTTCGGGATCAATGTAAGCGACAAATTTTCGTTGTGGTGTTTCAGCAGAAAATAAAATAGGCTTATTAAAATCACCTTTCACATCTAAGAATTTATCTAAACTAGTTTTGCCATGAGCACAGAGCCAAGATTTCAGTGGAGAGATTCTTCTTTGTTCCTGTTAAATATATTTTTAATTCATTAAATCGAAGAAAGCTGATATAAAAAGAAACAAAAGTACCCACTAAATTTGATTCGTCCGCACTTTTTAACTTATAGAGAAGATTCATTGCCTTACAATCACTGTGTCCGCATACAATGACGTGCTTAATATCGTTTATTATACAACTAAGTTCTAAACCAGCCGGTTCACAACTGGTCATTTCATCTACAAAATGTCTAGAGTGAGGTATGAGATTCCCAGCATTTCGGACTACAAAAGAGAAATCAATCAGTTTTAAAACAACAATTCATTATTAGCATTGTTCTTAACATCAAATTTGATATACCACTTACTAACGAACATATCCCCAACGGATGTCTCCGTAAATCTAGTTGGAATCATTCTACTGTCCATACACGTATAAAAGATAGCTTTTGGCTAAAAGAATAACATTTTATTTAAATTTTAAATAAATGTATTGTACACCATATAATATAAAAAAGCACATCACCAAAAACTTATTATATTATCTGTTCAGTATCTTTCAGTCTATATGTCATGCCTCAATTTTACGTCATACGTCATAACAAATAACAAAAAAATAAGAAATTAAAATTGAAATTCATACGATCTTATTAACATTGTATTTAAAAGTTCAATTTGATGCGTATTTATTTTATATTCAAAGGTTAGTATTGATAACTTACCACGGGGTTGTCTTTGACATGTTGAAACTGTTTGACCATAGTCGCTCGATCTAACACTCGGTATCGCATAATACCTCTTAATATTCTGTCCATATTTAATGTATTTATATCTAAGTCGACTACTACAATGTTTGGCTGAAGGAAGAACAACCATGTGTTTAGTAATTAGATTTACAAATTTGACATTTCTGACCTTCATGAACGCAGCTTATCGCGCTAGCTACGGAATCCAAAGTACCTACAGCTTCAATGTAGAACACTAGCAAAAGAGCGGGGAGAGATAAAAAGACGTTAGTTTTAATAATCTTGATCTTTTTCAAGACTGTATTAATTAATTCCAATTGATAACAATATTATGCTACTGATATAGCGCGTAAAACACTATACACTAGTCTAAATATAAGTAGCTATTAATTGTGAATATCTATATGATTACAATTTCATTGAAATTTTTTTTTTATTGTGTTTTACCGAAGACAAGATGAAAATATTTAATTATAAATGTGTATTACTTAGATGAAAAGCAAAATGATTTCTTTCCTAAGATCATAAATATTTTATTTATAAAAACGTTATTAATGAAATTTTTCAGATGAACACTGAAAGTATTATCGGTGATGGGGCAAAAGTTGAGAGAAAGGCGCCAACACTTCCAATTAATCACAGGTTTCTGGAACCGGAGAAAGCTGTTAAAAGTATTACAGATATGGCCATTTGGGAGAAATCTGAAGCTTATATGGAATATACCGGATTTATAGCTACCCTCAATGAAGCCATTAAAGGAAAACCATTGTCTGTTGATTGTATAATATCGGATAATGTAAAAAAAATTGTAGAACTGTTAGATAAACTTGATAAACTGATAGATGAATTTCCACCGATTGAACAACCGCAGAGATTCGGTAACACAGCATTTCGCGACTGGCTTTTGAAGGTTAAGAGCAAATCCACACAGTTTTTACAAGATGCCATCGATCTTCCCCTACATTTGGCAATCCCGGAAATCAAAGTATATCTAGAAGAAAGTTTTGGTAATGCTACAAGAATTGATTATGGAACAGGCCATGAAATGTCGTTCATCATGTTCCTCTGCTGTATTTACAAAATCGGTGTACTTGTCGTAGAAGATAATGTAGCAACGGTTTTCTTGATATTCAACAAATACCTACAGATTGTTAGAAGATTGCAGCAGACTTATAGAATGGAACCGGCCGGCAGTCATGGTGTGTGGAGTCTAGATGACTATCAATTTGTACCGTTCATCTGGGGCAGCTCTCAACTTATCGATCAACCCAGAATATATCCACCGGTCAAGTTCCTTGAAGACGATATCATTGATAAATATGCTGACGAGTACATGTTTTTGTCATGCATTAAATATATTAAAGAAGTGAAGAAGGGACCGTTTGCAGAGCATTCTAACCAGTTGTGGAGCATAAGCGCAGTCGGTTCCTGGTCCAAAATAAACCAAGGATTAATTAAAATGTATAAAAAGGAGGTCCTCGCTAAGTTTCCAGTTATTCAGCATGTGCTATTTGGATCCCTTCTACCAATCCGTAGGTTTCCTATTCAGCACTAATTAAAAATATTTTCAAGTACATAATTTATTATGACGTAACCAATAATTGTAGTGTCCATTATAAAGAGTTATAATAAAGAGTGGAACGGCTTTGAAGTATTTATTTCTATGACAAATGATGTCATTAGCATTATATGTATGTGATTTCAGTATTAAAAAATAAATTATTTCAGAAATTTTTTAATGATTTGTTGGTATTTCCATTATTGGTGTTTGTAAAGCACTTGAATTATATTCTAATAATTTTAGAGATTTATTTGCATACTTTTTAAATTATACATTGGATACTACTTATCAGCCAAAAATTATATTTCAGAATAATTTTATACAAACATATATTTTTATTTATTCCATTGCTAATTTTTAATTAGCTGATCATCCTTCTTATCTAATTAAATGAGATTTTGAACTCAATGTTTTGTGATGTATGTAGTAAAACTAATATACTTAATTATTATTTTTTAATTTTTTATTGAATTGATGTTACTCTTATCAGCTGCTATTTAAACATTAAAAATTAACTTTAAATAAATGACGTTTTCTTTGAATCTCACCTTTCTCCTCAAGTCTTCGATTTTTAAAATTAAATTTTTTATGTTATATTCAATTGTAATTATAAATTGTTCCATTTATTATTCTTATTAAATGAATTGTTATGGCAACATCTGAAATCGGTTAGAAACGTCCATTTATACAAACTCAAGTCTTGAGATGTAGTTCAAAAACATGAAAGATCCAATATTTGCGATAAATTTGTACATAGGTTCGAACAAAAATGTTCATTATGTATCATTAATAATTGTGAAATTATACTGATATTAAAAAAATGAAACTTTTATATGAATAAATAAATATATTTAAAATATTCTACATTTATTTATATTGTACATTCAACGGAACAAACAAGGCGTAGGTATTAAAAAAATCCGGCTAAAATACAACACAACTCAGAGAGGAAGGAAACATTAGATGAAAAGTTAAAGACAGGTATTTTTATATACAATTTTAATATAATAATTTACATTGTAATTTATATAAATGGCTATGAAATATTAATCGTTAAAAGACTTCATAGCGCGATTATAGAATATGTCAATTTTTAAATCATACTAAGTACACAATTTCAACAGACTTGAAGTATTTTACATATAAGACAAACTCCCAGGGCCCCCAGAACTTACTTATTTTCTGACGAACAAAACATGTATAATAGTTTTGTATACTTAAGTATTTAATCACAATCAAGTGCAAATAATGGTTTCGCTCTTACTCACACCAATATGCGACATTTTAAATACGTTTAAAACTTTAAACCATATTTGGTCCCTAGTATGACAACTTAGAAAATACATTTAAATAGATACCCAAATATTAAATGCGAAAATCAAGTATCACAGTAACAGTAAGATTGTGATTTCTGCTGTCGTTATTTATAGTGTCTGGCAAAAATTTCAACCCACGAAAGGTGTTGAGCATTGTTCATTTAAAATTATTTACAATATTTCTTACAACATTCGTGATAATCAGACCTCGGACTCTAAGTAAAGCGAGTGCAATTTTAACTTACCTGTAGCACCTGGTGCCTGAGAATTGTCCGTCGGTATGAGTTAGCATATTTGCAAAACGTTTACTGTACACACAAATACTAACTTATTACATATAAATTTTGTCAATCAGAAAATAAGTAAGGTCTGGGTGTCTTGGGCTTTTAGACTATTCTTTGTTCCTCAGTCAGGAACTTTAGAAAACGACTAGATCACACCAGGATTAAGATGAATTAAACCTGGGATCCTAATGCTCCGTGTTTAAAACAGCTTTGCTTTTATTGAAATAATTGCTGTACATTGAGTAAGTTATGCCGGCTGTGAGAGCGCCCACGGTCGCTCCTTGAGCTATGACTCGGAACTGCATCAGAAAAACGCTGGTGCTCATAGGACCGCGGTTCTTGAAGGAATATATGCCATAACCGACCGCCCCTACTAGACTGGCTAACCCTGAAATATTAAAAAAAACTATCGTAAGAAGTTCTTTTGGTTTTAAGGTGTAGTGACGTAACAAAAGTAGGTATTATTTTAATATTTAACTATGCTAAAGGGCGGAATCGAGCAGACGGCTCATTTGATTGAGGTAACTACTACCATACACATCCGCAACATAGATTTGCGGATATGTTGTCAACCTTCTTCTTCTTCTTCTACCTGGCAATTTCCCAGCTATGGCCAGGGTCTGCCTTGCATGTTGTGAATAGTTTTGGCTATTTGTTTTTACGACCGGCCGCCTACCTGACATCAACCCTCTTTGGGAATCAACATTAATCAGTGATGTCTAAATACTATTAGAAAGCACATATGACTCACAAAAATCACATTGGTACTTGTCCGGGCCAGGATCGAACCCGCGCCCTCGAGCTTGAGAGGCGGGCCTCTTAACCACTAGGCCACCACTGACTGTCGATATGTTGTCAACCTTGATTTTGGAAAAGGAGGAAAACATGGGTAAGGGAGGGAAAGGCCAACCGGCTCTCTGACTTATCGGACGAAACGCAGCCATTAAAGACTACCTACTTCATTCCGATCTTCTGTGAGAGGGTGGTACTTCCCCGGTCAAGACAGTTCATGTTCGAGTTGCAGTAACTTGACCTCAGCTAGGCTCTACCACCTCAATTTTGTATATGTTTAGAAAATCTTATATAAAATTTTTAAAATATTTAGTTTATACGAAGGCCTTGGCGTGGTCTTCCCAGAAAACACATTTTATGTTTTTACATGTCTAAACCTAAGTTCAAGTTTGCGGGGTATTCACCTTTATCGTTGGATTTAAAGACATATCTTAAAAACTATTAACTCTGCATAAAATTATACAGGGTGACTGGTGAATTACTATCAACATTTAAGGAGAATACTCGGTACATGATTTTCATTCGAATTATGTAAAAAAAATAGGTACTTAATTTTTGACCAAATTTCCGTAAAAATAAATAAAGTGTGTACACGTTCCAAGTATTCCAAGTGTGGACGCGTGCGGCGGTGTGCTGATACAACACTACGCCGCCGCCGCGTCTGTGTGTGTGTATACCTAATCTGTAGGGTGTTCACACGATGCGTAATTAATTACATAAGTTTTGGTTAACTTTACTTAGAAGTTTATTAATATTTATGTTATATTAATTTTTATTTTGTCATATATGATCGTCAAATATCACGTCCTCAAATATCGATAGTAATTCACCAGTCACCCTGTATAAGACCTTATTTGTAGCAAGTCATTCAGGCAAGTATTTTTTATTACTTAATTGTTTGAACTTTCATTCTTTTTTGTTCATTTTATAATAAAATGAAATCAATGCAAAATGAAAGACGGCTTTTAATAAATATTTTCGTTCAATTATTTAAATAGTCTTCGTTTAACAGTTCTGAAGTTCACTGGGTTGTTGAAAACTAATAAAATACGATAAACACGAACCACAGCTTAGTTTTCTATTAAATATTTTTTTCTTGATATGATTTATCACTTTTTTAACATTCTTATAATCGATAATAAATATGTGAATGTTGATACGTCATTTTACGAACACAATGTCTACCTATTACGTAGTTTTGTGTATGATAATAAAATAGATTTACGTTTTTTATTACATAAGTTTGTATAGAAACATCAATTTCATGCCATAGTAAAATAAAAACTCACCAATGACCATGAAAGGGGATTCCTTTGATTTTCTAGCTAACTTTTCGCTGTGACTTTCCACGTGGTAGTCGAATGTTGGTTTTTCTTGTGCCATTTTATCACTGAAATAATAAAATAAAACTAAAATTTAAACAGTAGAATGGTAAAATATATGTAGGTATAACTTTCATTGACAAGTCCAAATCAATCGGATGTATGATAGTGGGCAAAGTTATTATCAAATATAGAAGTTATAGATAAGATAGCCAAAAATGACCTAGACATTTACCTACATTACAAGAATGATTTTCAAAAAAAAGTTAATGTAAAAGAGAATACTAAACGGTGATATATTTTATTTTTATGTATAATATAAAGTAGTCCATGAAAACTTAATTGGATGTTTTTATAAAGGGGTCGATCGATAATTCATAAAATTTAGATAATTACATTTTTTACACAGATTCTATCTAATAAAATGGTAAAGTACAAAAGACCCAAGGCAATTACTTACAGAAATTATTGTTATAATTTCTTGCGTACGTGTAAAAAAATTAAAAACAAATTTTTATTGAAAATCGTTTTAAAAAAGTAGGATTCTCTTGCTAAGTTATTATTTGCATTTATATGTACTTTATCATAAAGTCTATACAGATATCCAGAGTAGAGTATTATTTAACAATTAACAAAAAAATCTACTTTAAAAACATAAAAATGATATTACGACATGATTACATTATATTACATTACATGAATCATACACACTCACCGATAAAACTTGTCAATATATTTACTTTGTAAATTAAATTTATATAATCACATAAATTCTCACTGCACAATATTAATTTTTATCATATAACAAGAGCGGTTTCAATCAACCACTCTACTGTATGGATGTCGTTTAACAACTAGTCACTACTAGTCCTTACTTCAGAACGAAACTTCTAGTGACAAGTGAATTGTTTGCACTTTAATAGAAATATATTACATATTATATCATAATTCATATATGTAATGATAATATCGGTATTTCTTACTTTATAACTGAGAAGTCTTAAAAAGTATTATGCTTGGAAACTTTATATACTTACCTATATCATTTAAATCGATGGAAGTGAATTTGTTGCGCAAGAAATATATATTGGAGTGACCTATAAATAATAAACAAAATATTGTATTAAACTAAGTTTATTGCTAAGTCAATATGCTAGTGGTTGTAGATGTAATATATATAATGTATTTATATAAATTATGAATAGAAAAATTATTTGATATATTTATCTTGCCACAAATTTGCACCGTTTCAGTTTTTCATGCGTACACGATATTAGATTTTTCTCACTCTTTAGATATAGCTAAAAATCATTTTAGCATAAGTTGTCAGAAGCGCATTTTAAGATGCTCAAAACGACTCTCTAAATAGGCATTAATGTATGTCGCCATCTATAGAATTCGAATAGTTATAGTAGTTGTGCTTTGCCAAAAAATTAGGGTGTCTAATAGAAATTTCAATTTGGCCTAGACGTGGATGTTGTTCAGTATTACAAAAAAAGGTAATCAAAGTTTAAATGTGTCACACTAATAAAATTACGTCATAAACTATTTATAACAGTATTTTCTTTTGTTTAAAATTTTTGTCTATCTATTTAATAAATACAAATTATTTAGAACAATATCATTTAATGGGAAAATAAAAGCATAAAGAGGAAAGTAATTAATAAGAGAATTATTATAACAGTATAATTTTATTAAGCAGGTACCATTACAGTTATACACATAAATTAAGAACCAAGTGTTGTAACACTGTTTTACATATACCATCATGGAAATTTAGTTTAACTTTTAAGATATAGTTTAAACAAAAGTAGTTTTACTTAACACCAAAAAAATATTTGATATGTTTCTCTTAGATTAAAACAAGATTTTAAAACGAAAGGTTTGTATCAAATTGATGGCGCGAACTAATTTGACAGATGAAATTCACTGACAAATATTTTGGCGCCAAAAGTTTTTATAAATTAACGGTAACAAAAAAATTACATAATATAATTTTAACTAATATTTAAAATTACTATTGATAGAGACTAAGGTTATAATATATTTATAGTCTATTTTTCATGCAAATGTTTACAATGATCCAATTTCACATATAAAACACGACCTCAAATAACACTATGATAAAGCATTAAAAATAACAATCTAAACTCTTAAAGGAAGCAAAGACAAAGTTTCATAAACAATAAGTACGACCTTAGTCTATAATATTTATAATCTGTGCACATTAGCTGTCAAAATGCACGAATGACGAATGTCCCGCTCTTTACGATATAGGCACTTATATTATGATTCCCTCATTGATATTGACTTGGCGCACTTGAAGAGACTTTCTCTAGTTTCTCGAAATGCTTTCTAGCATTCCTTATATTTATGAGCGTCGCTTCTGACGGTATTTTAGGGTCGGACATTTCAACCATAACATACGTGTTGCTTGTGAAGCCGTCTATGAATGCAGCGAATACACTGTTACGGACCTGAAATAGAAATGTTATGTTTTTGATGAGTAATAGGGTTTTTGTATGTATATGTATGTTTGGGCGATGTTTTCAATAAATCAATTTTTCATTAATAGTAGAATTTGATGTCTCGGATTGTATTTATATTCTTTTAAATTTCGACGTTTTTAAGTTGTTATTGCAAGTTTAAGTTTAGTATAATTTTGACAAGTGTAAACAATCTTAATTGACTAGAAAAAGCTTCTAGATTACAATTACAACTACTTAACATTGTATAGTCCGTTAGACTTAAGCTGAGCTTTGCATTTGTTGAGTGAAAGTAAAAGTAAAGTTAGACAAAATTTTTTTAGAATTCAATTCTATTACATTTTAAATAGATACCTAACATAACTATTCTAGATTAAAAATAAAATAAGCAAAACTTGTAAAAGGCCAAATGGAAATATTTAAAAAAAATTATTAAGTAACAAAAATTTTGAAAAAACTACAAATTGGCATTCAAAAATTTGACATCTCACCTACACTATCTGTGTGCAGTCACACAAATGCAAAGCTCAGCTTAAATGAAACGCACTATAACACTACAAATCGGCAATATACAGGGTGACTGGTGAATTACTATCGATACTTGAGGACGTGATATTTGACGATCATATATGACAAAATAAAAATTAATATAACATAAATATTAATAAACTTCTAAGTAAAGTTAACCAAAAGTTACGTAATTAATTACGCATCGTGTGAACACTCTACAGATTAGGTATACACACACACACACACACACGCGTGCGGCGGCGTAGTGTTGTATCAGCACGCCGCCGCACGCGTCCACACTTGGAACGCTTGGAACGTGTCCACACTTTATTTATTTATACGGAAATTTGGTCAAAAATTAAGTACCTATTTTTTTTACATAATTCGAATGAGAATCATGTACCGAGTATTCTCCTTAAATATTGATAGTAATTCACCAGTCACCCTGTATAAGAAAGTTTTAAACATATATACAACCTCCATGCTCTGGAACTGTGCAGCCAGCTTAGAACAGGACAATTTAAACTGCTTAACAATGTTGGAGACTTTCTCAAAACGGTGGGCGTCCCGGTGCGGCCTTCGCTGGCAATGTGACACTACTAAGAATGTAGCTCGCTCAAATAACAAGACCTGGGTGAAATATATTAATATACTTATTATTAAATGTCATATCTTTATTTTTATGATTGAATGCAATCCATACATACATGCAATTGTAATTAACATACCTAGAATATTTAAAGAATAGTTGTATTTTAAATGAGTTTAGTTGTGAATTTAAAAACGATTATTGCTGGCCAAATTTTTTTTTAAATCTTAACCCAAAGAATAATATATAATATTAATTAAACACAGTTATCTCCATATTATTTGTGTGAATGTGGTTTTAAACATAATCTTCTAACTGGCAATTTCCCGGCTATAGCCAGGGTCTGCCTTACATGTTGTGAATAGTTTTGGCTAATTCTTTTTTACGACCGGCCGCCTGCCTGATATCAACCCTATTTTGGGAATCAGCATTAATCAGTGATGTCTAATTCTATATTCTTAGAAAATACATATGACTCGGAAAAATCACATTGGTACTTGCCCAGGCCAGAATTGAACATCAAACCCGCGCCCTGGGCAACGAGAGGCGGGCCCTCTAACCATTAGGCCACCACTGATTTAAAATAACTTTAAACATAATATGAAGATAATTAACTACTACATGATTTTTTTTATAAATCACCTCATCAGCATCCACGATAGCTGCAAACTGTTTGAGTGATGATTCCAGGGCTTTGACATTGGGTATCAATTTGTAGACTATACTTGACCATGCTCTGTGAAATAAGAACTTTAAATATTAGTTACAACAAAAATCTTCTAGAATAATCTTAGTTTCACATAATTGTATTTATCTGTTAGGTAAGGAAGTATAAATGAAAATTTGTACATATAAATTAAAATAAGTAAGAAAAATCCTAAATTCTCAATTTATTTTGTCATACATTATACATATAATATTGACTAAAGAAGGTAAAGTCATATATATGTATAATATTACTAACTTGTAAAGTGTTTCATCCCATATACTTGTTCTAAAGCAAGTGCACTCCAGAGGTTTTGAAAGACCTTTCAGATCTTCTTCCCGTTCCTTGAAGATTTCCTCTCTCCTCTCCTCAGCCACCAGGTCCATTTTATGTACCAAACAAAATATCCTAGCTTCCGGTGAGTTCTGAAATTCATTTTTATAAAATTTTAGTTTACGATTCTGACCTTGTTTATTAGATAATTTTATATAATAAACATTTATGGTGATATTTGTAATTGTAATTTTAATTTATGACTCTAATCTTGGATATAATTGGATATTAAATAATTTTTTATACTATTTTTGGTAAAATTTGTCATCATAATAAAATAAAGTTAAATGTTTAATTTTTTTTTATAAATTTATATATCGTCGGGGATAGTTCAAGTCCGCATAACTTAGTATTAGATAATTCCGAGTATCTGCTTTGGAAGCAAATTATCAGAAGAAAGTTTAAGCTGAAATATTTACTAAATTAACAACTTTTAAGGTATTATTTTCACAATAACTAATTGTAACTTAATTGTAAAATTTAAATTATCCAATGCTAGTTGCTTGCATTAGCACTATCCCCGACGATATGTAATCATTATTTTCTAAGTGTATTCTTAGATATATTTACCTGTAAAATAGCTTCGAGACATGACTGATAATAATGCATATCCTTTTCCATTTCCCTGCTCTCAACATCAAACACATATATAAGTACTTCAACATTCCGGAAAATATTGTCTCTTTGTGATGCAAAGTAGTTCTCCATGAAGGCCTCCTGGCCTCCGCAATCCCATAGATTGAGGACTAAGTTCCCGAGGAATCTTACATGTGAGTGTTCTACATCAACTGTAAGGTAGGAAAATATTAGAATAAGTAATGACTGTACTTTAAAAGATATTACTTTGTCTATTGTATAGTCTATAGTGAATTCTAATAAGAATAAAAATAACTCACTTGTTGCTCCTAGCCTCCTGGTGTCTCTAGCAATGTAATTTGCAAATATAATGGATCTCATACTGGTCTTTCCTGAACCACTTTTACCCATCAGCAACACCTAGATAAATAAACATCAGATGTTTAGTTGTAAATATGTAGATATTATTAAAAAGCAACAGCAAAATTCATGTAAATTACCTTTTTCTTCATGTTGGATGAGTTGTAGGAGGCGATACACTTGTATAAAAACTTGTTTTCTTTATCCTACCTCCTGTTTATTAAAAATAATTATTTAATTAACAACTATTGATAACGAATTTCAACTTATACTTATTGGTTTTGAATTTCACTCTAAGACTGGTAAATAAAATACAAATAGGCGTTGCGTTTCAATTATTTCTTGGGTGATACGCCAGCGAATCGTGAAACCAAAGTCGATTCACGATACGACTAATACATGACACAGGGCAGGAATAAAAAAATAGTGTATATTAATTATGACAGCTAACGTAATTTAAAGTGACATATCACTTATTTACATTGCTATTAAACAAGGTAACACTTAAAATAATATTACTTAAAATCAGCAATGGATACGATGAAATTGTTTATATGATTGTAACGTTTCGTTTTACTATGAGGATGAATGTGTTTATTACATTAAACTTACATTTTAAATTATTTTATATAATTTGATATATAACATAAGTCTATATGAATAAGCAAATATTACATAAAATGTTACTATGAAAATAATATGAATGAAGTTTACAATGAAATCTTGTGAAGTAAAAAATATTCAAGTACATATAATTCATTGCTCATGACATGAAATGGAAAATCCTTGTCATGTTATAAGACAAAATAATCAAAGTCAAAAGAGCATCGAAATTTGGAGAAACGTGTGGAGATCAGCGAAAACAATTATGATCCCATAAAATTAAGTAATAAGTCTAGTTCGATTAATATTATAATATGGCTCGCCACCGTAATGTGAGAAACCGGAGTTATTCTGACGATTATGATTACGACGATGTATACGGACATTCCGTGGAAGAAGACAGCTGTTTATCACCTAGCGATGCTGATCAGTGGATGTATGATCGGTCTCGTAATCAGCAGGCTATATCCAGCTTCCTGAGTAGCCATAATGACATCCAAGAGGAATCCGAAGAACTGACCGAAGACTCGCACCCGTGCCTGCAACGTCGCGAGTCGATAGACCTCCGAGGCCTTAACTTAAATGAAGAAGACGAGGCTAAGCTCATGTCATGTTTAGATGAATTGCGAAATGTACTGGGTGATACAGTCCCCGAAAATATACTTGTGCAAACAGTGATGAATCACAATTTCAATTTTAACAAAGCTTTGGACGAAATTTTGAATAATAATAAGACTAAGGATGAAAAAACTAAGGCAGCTGTAACATTACCTGTTATATTGGAACCTGCTAAGGCTCCTGTTATAACCACAGATGTCAAAGTTCCTAAAGTTATAGCTACAAAAGTTGAACCAAGCAAAGCAAATGTGATCAAAGGTTTCAAAATTGATAGTCCCAAAAGTCTTCCACAAACACCGAGAGAACAATCCCCCGCTAATAGAGAAAGGACACCATCCAGAACAGATCAAGTTGATGACAGCAAAAGTGCTACAAAATTGAAGGAAAACAAAACGGATCCTAATGTACAGTATTCAAATGAACGGAAATCAGATAAAGACCATTTATATATTGTTGTGATAGGTCATGTTGATGCTGGAAAATCAACTCTAATGGGCCGTATACTATGTGATTTGGGTGAAGTGAGTCAAAGGACTTTGCATAAATATGAACAGGAGAGTAAGAAGCTCGGCAAACAAAGTTTCATGTACGCTTGGGTGCTTGATGAAACCGGTGAAGAACGACTGAGAGGCATCACTATGGATGTAGGTAGAGCTCAGTTTGAGACAAAAACAAAGAAGGTTATTATACTAGATGCCCCCGGTCACGCTGATTTCATTCCAAACATGATAACTGGTGCTGGCCAGGCCGATGTTGCTTTGTTAGTTGTGGATGCGACTAGAGGAGAGTTTGAATCAGGTTTTGATCTTGGCGGACAAACACGAGAACATGCCTTACTTGTTAGATCATTAGGTGTTAATCAGCTCGCGGTGGCTGTTAACAAATTAGATACAAATAATTGGTCCCAGGAAAGATTTAACGAGATAACTACGAAACTAAAATCATTTCTTAAACAAGCTGGCTTCAAAGATTCAGACGTCACATATGTACCATGTTCAGGTTTGACCGGTGAGAACTTAGTTAAGTCTACTACTGAAGCGGAACTGCTCAAATGGTACGATGGCCCATGTCTTCTTGACGTTATCGACAAGTTTAAAGTTCCCCAAAGGCCTGTCGCTAAGCCTCTGCGTATGTCCATTAACGATATATTCAAGGGAACCGGTTCAGGTTTCTGTGTTGCTGGTCGTATAGAGACAGGGGTAATCAACAAGGGAGATAAAGTTCTAGTCTGCCCGACCAAGGAAATGGCGGAGATTCGTAGTGTGAGTATAAACGATATGGTTAGCAATGTGGCATTCGCTGGTGATCAGGTCAGTGTGACGTTATCTGGGGTGGAGATGCAGAATGTATCGATTGGATACGTTCTGAGTGATCCCATACAGCAGGTGCCGGTGTCTGCGAGGTTTGAGGCCCGTTTGGTAGTTTTCAACGTAAAAGTACCAATAACTAAAGGCTTCCCCGTCTTGATACATCATCAGTCTTTGGTGGAATCGGCGAGCATAGTCAAACTTAAGGCGTTACTGAACAAAAGTACCGGTGAGGTTTTGAAGAAGAAGCCGAGATGTCTGGGCAATAACTCTGTAGCTGTGGTGGAAATAGAGGTTTGTAGACCGATTTGTATCGAGCGGTACAAAGATGTTAAGGAGTTGGGTCGGGTCATGCTACGTGTGGCCGGAGTCACTATAGCTGCGGGCCTCGTAACAGATATCCTGAGCATTTGATTGATCTGAAACATGCTTAATATGTCCAAGCTCCGGATGTAGTATATGAAGTTTCTGTGACATTACATCAATTAATTATTGTACAATAACGTATCGTGCTATACATAAAATGGTTAATATTGTTACATAAATATTTATAATGAGAATAAAATGTTTGAAAAATAGCATTATACGTTTCCTTTTCTACTACTCTATTCTTTTAAATCTTTTAAAAGTATGATACATATGAAACAATTATTAAATTAAATTCCGCATTTCTTGTCAAAATGGTCATTAAAGATTATAATAATAACTGTATTTTGTGCCTTTTGAAATGTTTATAATTTAAGCTTCGAACTTCTCTGTATAGGTTAGTTATTTAATCCTAACTGTTAAACGATTTAAACGAATATATTTTTTCTTGTCTGCATACAATAATAATTTTTCAACATATAAAACCAATTTATATACATAATCTCAATAAATAAATAAAATTAAAATGTCAATTGAAATATTTAAATGAATTTTTTACTGAATATACGAGTGTAGACGCAGGACATATTCTACTACTCACTGTTTCTACTAATTTATAAAACAACTTGAACGATTTTTATGGAACTTAGCTTGATTAATATAAGAAATTTTACTTATTTTTGTTATTAAAATATATGTAGTACATTATATAAATCGCTACGAACAAAAGCAATTTTCTGTATGAGAAATACTTTTCCCAAGAAAATGCTCAACCTACAGGCAAGGTGTATGACACCGTGTAATGACTTTTCTATTTTCACAGCATGTGAAAAGCCAAGTTGAACAAGATGTAGTTTGGATAAGCCTCATGAGTCATGACATTTCTAGTTTCTGTTTATATAACAATGTCGAATATATTACATTCTTTATATTAACTCAAATATTATATTATATCTGATGTGGTTAATAACTTTTCCTTGGTTACAAAAATATCCTTATAAATTGCCTGTACCCACATTTTATTTCATCAAAAATTGCAAAAGTACGTATGTTGCTAAAAGCGGACCATTCATCATAAGAATGTCTGATTGTAAGCGTTTGTTATAAGGAAATCTAAGAAAAGTTATATAAGAATTGTTTGATAAATGGACTACCATTTCCGTTTGTTTTTACCCCAGAATACATTCAGTAATATTACATAATTTCAGTACAAAACTGTTTTTCCTATACGTTCTTTGTTTCCGATTGTTACAGCCGTCACAGAATCGGGATTTGGGACAAGTGTCGCAAATGTTACAAAATTTAATTTCCTACTCATTTCCCAGCAGACGTAGTTCAGTGTTCTGTTGTTAAATTGCTTAGTCCGATCGACGCTCATCTCGCATTTAAATTCAGAGCTCCACAGCTTGTTACGTTTTACATATAATCTGTTTCTTATTATCTACATATTATAAATTACATTTATATTAAATTCTATTTTTTTTTAATATTAATGAATTAAGTTTTAACAAGATTTCATCTGAATTTAGGTAAGTTACAATTTATATTTAATTTTAAAAGTGCCATTTGGTTTATTTTATAACGATCTCATAATATATGACATTTGCTCTCAAAAGTCACAAGGGACAAAAAAATACCAAAATATGTTTTGTAAAAGTTCATATTGACAATTGACGTTTACGAAGTAATTTTTTAGTAAAACTTTTTTCGAATTGGAAACTTAAATTTTATTAAGGAAACCGCAAATTATTGTAATCGAAGCTATATATATACGTGTACAGAAAGTATATAATAGTACACAATTTTATTGTTAAAATTTGTACCTACTAAGTATTTATTTAATTTATTACGAAAGTTAAACAGGATGTACTGACACGTTCTTCAGATGTTTAAGACAATTAGTTGGAATATCATGTAGTTTGTAAATAAATATATCAAGAGAAATGTTAATTAAATCCACGTCGTCGTAAACGTAGGAAATTAAGGCGGCTGTAATTAGTATATAACGATGAACAATACGCTTAATTATTTGCTGTTCTTACTGACTTTGAGTTGATTAATTTTAAGGCGGGCTATATCGTTTTATTTATTTTACGACATTATTGTTCCAAGTGGTAATACATTCAAGAGATTTTAGTTCGATAAATTAGATATTACATAATCAGTCACACGAGAAATAATAACGATTTTATTCAAAAATATTATATAAAGAAAATTTAAATTTATATTTCATAAAGAGAAAATAATTGTCGTGTGCTTATTCAACAACTATTTTAAAACAATCATATTATTGATAAAGAAGTAGGTCGGCTCAAGTCTTGGCAAAGGTTTGAAGTATTCAGAACTCTTATTAAAATAAAAAGCTTAGTAAATTATAAATATTAAAACTTTGTATAACAATGCAATGTTTTCGTATTTTTTATATATTTCTTTATTTAGTAAAGTACAGTTTTTCCTATGATAAAATATCTATATTAAATTATTTTAAAGTATGTATATTGTGTAATTAATATCTTGTTAATGTTTGAAAAAAATACTTGACCCGGTTTTAGATACTTATATAGGTTGAAGGTTTAAAACCGTTAATCTATTAGTAACCTGTAACAGTAAGGAAGTAGGTATTTCTTATTTTCTTTTATTTTTAATTTTAATAAAGTTAATGCTACTGACACTTTATAATAAACAACAATTAGTATTCCTATGTTTAAGAACTTTATTGTTAGGTATATCTTATTTTATACAATTAAAATAGTTAGTGTTTTATGATGAAGATATTAATTAACTTTTTTAATAATATTTAATGCAGAAGTGAAATTATTCAGATTCTAATGAATCTTATTTCAATTTTTTTTAACAACGTTGTTCATACAAAAAAATATACCTTCCGTAACTGTTCTCATAAAGCAATTTCCCAGATTACATTTCGGAGTCAAAGCGAACATTTTCATGTCAAGAAATCTCATTCTGTTAGCTTTTATTCCATTTGGCTCGCTGCATAGTCACGAAATGACTGTGAAATTATTATACTGATAAATTTTACTTCAAATATCTTGAATTAATGATGAATGTGTAATTTATGATAGTATAATATAATATTAATTTAATATGATCTACAAGTAGGTACCTATTATGTGTTATTACGAAATTACTAATGTTTTGACAGATATGTCATGTGACATACTTCCAGATTGCTAAACTCTTTTGTGCAGTGATAATTGCATTTACTGCAGCTCTACTCTGCAATTAAGCTGAGTGTTCATCCGGATGGCGAGTTTTGCATCATCACATGATGGATAGTGTGCTCAATATTTTATTCGATGATAAATAAGAATGTATTTAATGAACTGGAAAAAGGGCTGTATTTAATGTGACTATTTATTGTGATGTTCTTTTGTTTAGTATATTTGGAGACTAATTAGTAAGCTACTATGAAGTATAATATTATTAACTAAACACGATGCTAAAGTTCTTAATCGCTGTTAATTCCATGTTTATTGTTCCTCAGTATTGTTATGTGATGTGAAGATACGGGTAGGCAAAGTCAAATATCAAGCCAGCCAATACATGTGGGCTTTGATGTACCGAATGTATACAGGCAAAGTTTATATTTCATGAAGCATTGCTTCGAGTAAAATTTGTTTATAAGTTCTTCGATATGGATATACATATATACATAAAAATATACATCGCTCAAAACGTAGTGCTTATAAAATCTTAGTTTCTTAAAAATTGTATAATTTTATATTTATTTTTATGTGGACCAAGTTTCTATGGATTTAAAATTAAAAAACTAAATCTGTTAATAATGATATTTTTCTATTTTTTAACTTTAATTTTTTCATCAAATTAACCTTTGGATACTGTTGTCTGTATGAGACTTATACAGGGCGTAGACATATTTTTATTACATTGTGTTCCCATTTTTCTCTGTTAGAAACTTGGCTCAGATCTAATAAACAATATTGCTGTCTTTACTTGATATAAAGTTATTAAAAACTTAAGAAACTAAGATTTTATAAGCAACACGACGAGAGTATGTTCGTTTTCTTGACATATGAAAACTTTTTTAATCTATCAGCATGGACGAACTCCTTGGTATGTCAGTTTAATAACACTCAAAGTACTGTCATTTTACCCGCATATGACAGATAATTTGTAAAAAAATATTTCCTTCATCAATAAAGAAGAAATTATTAGTGGGTGAAAAGATATGTTAAATGAATTTATGGTAATTGGTTAGTTAAAGGAATTATACATGAAATTATATTAAATTGTCACGTGTTTTTGTGTGCTCTTTCGGTGTTCCCTTGAGGCGCATTTCCGAATACCGTAGCGAGATTAATTATGGCGACGAAGCGGTACATGCATTAATTAACTCTGTACTTAGCCGGTATAGTGTCCTGTAATCTGATTATGAGCGAGGGTTACGGCTCTGTTTGATCTGACTCAGCCTTCCTTCAACCGGATGACGAAATCACGTATCTCAATATCTGTCTTAGACTAACCTAGATATATATGTATTATTCAGTTTAAAACAAAAGAACAATCGAAAATTTATTTTAGTCGTTACAAATAAATGCAAAGGTTAAGGAGAAATATAGTATTACTAACAATACATCATTAAAATATAAAGTAGTATACATTATACTTTTGAATAAAACCTTTTTTTTGTAAACACTATTCACTTCTTTAAGGACTTTTCATGATTTTTTTAATAAAGCTCAGAAATTGTATCATTTCTCCTTCTATTGCTTAAAATTGTTTTAGATTCTTCTTTGTAAAGACGATCAAGTCACAAAAATTATTATATTACTACTAGTTTTTGCCCGCGACTTCGTCCGCGTTAGTTTGGTCAAGAGTAATATATGTAGGTATAGCTGACCAGGCGAACTCTATTCCGTCTTAGAGGCCATAAATAATCAAGTTTTTCCTGTTTCAATCAAACAGAATGATTGACATATTAGTTAGTTGTCAAATCTAATGTCAAAAAAAAACGTTTGTATGGGAAATGGAAAAGGGCTGTTTTTAGGGTTTTTCCGTCAATTATT